CGCCCAGCCTGCAGAGCACCATAGCAACCAGGGTTAAAATTGGGTCAGGATTGCCAGTGCAAAACTTGTTAGGGTTTGCACTGAAAATGTTCATTCATGTGCTGTTTTGACAGAAAACATGCTATTTGGTGAAGCTGAAGAGGGGAGAGGAGACTGTGTTTATGTAGAAATCAGTGAGCGAAGTGCTGTGAGTGCATGAATTTTTCCTTTTTTAACCTACACTGTACCTGGACAAGATGCACTAGTTCTAACTAAAGTGCCATAGCATGTCTTGAACCTTACTGAGGTTCCAGGCAGCACCCATAGTGCCCTGGGTGCATCAGCCAGGATGCTGATACCTGCTACTGACCACCTGCTAGCACTCCCCAAGGCTTGACAGGAGAGGAAGCAAGTCAGTGGACAAATATATGTAATCTAGGACTGGGACATGCTTATGCCTTGGTCTTTCCTTAGAAAGCACTGTCCTTTCAGCTAAACAATTTTATGAGCGGGGGTTATAGCCAGCAACTGCCGCTCCAGGTATTATGTGATGGTTTGCAGATGTTATTTCAGTCCATATTAGAAGAATTAAACAAATACTATGCATGCATAAGAGCAGGGGAGGGAGCATGGAATGTAACAGTGAAAACCATTTCTTCCAATTACTTGATTACCACTGTCCAGAAAAAGAAATAATTCACGTTTTTTCTGAAGAAATATTTCTGTAGCCTAACAAGGATTTTGAGTTAATATGCCAAGATAAAAGCATTCAAACTGAAAAGCTAATTCTAGACTTATACTATATACTCCTCACTGGGCCAGCCACCCTGCTCAATGGGACCCAGTGGCGTTGCCCACGCATTTTCAAAGCTGTTTGCCTCGCCTTCTCTGTGAGGTCCCTGCTAGTAGCAATGTGCTCAGGGGTTCAAGAAGGCCAATGGCGTCCTGGCTTGTATCAGAAATAGTGTGGCCAACAGGACCAGGGAAGTGATTGTCCCTCTGCACTCGGCACTGGTGAGGCTGCACCTCGGGTCCTGTGTTCAGTTTTTGGGCCCCTCACCACAAGGAAGACATTGAGGTGCTGGAGCATGTCCAGAGAAGGGCAACAGAGCTCGGAAAGGGTCTGGAGCACAAGTCACTGAGGAGTGGCTGAGGGAACTGGGGGTGTTTAGCCTGGAGAAAGGAGGCTCAGGGGGGACCTTATCACTCTTTACAAGTACCTGAAAGGAGGTTGTAGCCAGGTGGGGATCGTGCTCTTCTCCCAGACAACTAACAATAGGACAAGAGTTGTACCAGGGAAGGTTCAGGTTGGACACCAGGAAGAATTTCTCCATGGAAAAGATAGGTAAGCACTGGAATGGGTGCCCAGGGAGGTGGTGGAGTCACCAACCCTGGAAGTGTCCAAGACAAGGTGGTGTTCAGTCAAAGGTTGGACTCTATGATCTCAGAGGTCTCTTCCAACCTAAACGATTCTGTGTTTCTGATTTTTCAAAAGTGCTGAGCACACTGTTTTACTAAAACAGGACCTGATTGATTAGTCCCAAACATATATAATCCTGAAATATCTGAGTATCTCAGTATGTCTAGTACATTTACCCTTATAACACTGACCCATTTCCAGATCCTCTTCTCCTTCATGAAGTATAACAATTAGTGAAGTTTTATTAATGAGCAATGGAGGCATGAAGGCTTCATCAGTGGCCCCAGGTCTACAGAGGACCGAGAGTGCATGCCAGCCTCCTTGTGTCGCAGATGTTACCCAAAGCTCTGGATCTACAAATTAAAACTTCCCAAACATCCTGTTTCAAAAAGCACCATCTCCCCTAAGAAATCTGAGAGACATTCTTTTGTCTGGAATGAACTAAATCCTGGCTTTAAACAGAACATAAAATTTACAAGGTGATATGATCAGCCTCCCTGTTCTGCTTACTAATATTTTTTAAGGTGTTGACCAAGTAGAATCAAATTTGATAGAGGCCCAGTCTTATTATATTTTTACAAGATTCGAGAAAATCTGAAGCCAAGAAGTGGAAAAGTTCCAAAACTGGTGCCCATAGAAAGAAACAGACAGGAACAATTTAATATTTCCAAAGGCAGGTAGGAAATCCCTGTGTGAGAGAGCAGCCAGCTATTCCCCATCAGTATGAGAACAGCTCAAATTAGAGCCAGTCCTGCCTTTTGCCTTGTCCAACAGGTAGGGAACATGGGAGGAAGTAAACATCTTTGAAGGAGCAATCCACAAAAGCCAGCAGAGCAGCTGGGACTTCTGTAGTGGCAGACTGTTAGGACACAAATCTGAAGAAAGTTTTTTCTTTGTAGCACAGTTTAGCTGCGACATTAATAGAATTATTCCAGGATGAAGGTAAGATCAGTAAACGATTCCTATAATGAATTTCCATCAGTTGTGTTCAATGCTTCCAAGTGTACTATAAAAGCATGTCTTCATATAAAGCAACATATCATATAAAGGTTTTAGAGCACTGCAATAAATTATGATTAATTTTGTGTATCTTGAAACTAGTTTCTATACTACAATGAACTGGCTTATTTTAAACACAATGCAGCACTCAGATCATCAGAAAGAGTAAACCTGACATAAATCAGGTTTTCATTTTGCAGCTGAATTGACTTAGGTTCTATGCAAGAGGTTTGTAATTTAAAAAGTCAGTGACTACTGACTGAGCAAATTCTTGGCCTGTCAGCAGAACAGCAACAGCAAATCTTAATGAAAGCCTTTTTCTGATTCTATAAAGCAAGCTAAAATCCTAGAAAAATGTAGATAAGCACGACTTAATCAAAAGCTCACCTCCAGATCTCACTTCAGACCTGTGCTGTGCAGGACTCCAAATTCAGATTTGGGATTGCTAACTTCTCAGGGTGGGCCCACATCATCTCACCAGACAGCCTCCTCACTACCTACCAGGCTTCTGAACTAGAGTCATTTGAACTGAGCTGCAGTCAGAGACTAAAAGTCCTATTTGCTCACAGCTGTCTTACAGCCTCAGCTGGGGCTGTGCCTGAAGGCTATCAGCAATTCTGGATGCAGATTCACACCTCAGAACCACTCGTTCTGCTCTTCTGCCTTGTCCTTGGTTTTCATGGGGTGACCATGCAAGATTTTCAGCTTTTAGAGCCTCCTTGCTTAGTGCACTAGACTTTGAAGTGATCTCAGGCTCAGGCGCTGCCACCTCTAGATCAAACTTAGTGAAAGCAAGGTGAGATAATCTGTGTTACAGTCAAGTAAAAATATGAATTGCCACATCATGTTCTTGGTATGTGCAGCATGGTTGAGACCCAGATCACATGGTACTAGATTGCCCTGTTCTATCCCTGCCTTTGCTTCTTTAACAAAGAAAATAGTTGCTATCCCACATGCATCTCATCCAAACTCTTAACTGCAGAAAGCTTTTTGATGACAGGAAGCACTTGCAGCTTATATTCTCCTGCTGCAGTGCTCTGTGCCACTGGAAAAAGTATTACAATCCAGAATAGTGATGAAAACGAGGTGGATCTACAAAGGTACAATTTTTGTTCAAAATGCACACACATTATTGTCTGTGACTGGTTGACTCTTCCTACAAGTATGGACCACAAAAAACTAAAGGCACAAACTTCTGATGATTTTGGATCCAGATTTCCAAGTCCAGTTAGTCTCTGGGATATTACAGAACATGTGGTTTACCCCATAAACACCTCCCAGGAAAAAAATAAAACCAAAACACACACAAAAATCTCATGTGTTTAAGATCAAACTAGTGAGTCATTTAAGGAAAAAAAAGCCAGACATTGCAATTAACCCCAACTGAAGCACATACATCTAAAAAAAAATCAGTGAGAAGGATATCCTTAAAGGAAATCCCAAAATAGTGACAAAAGAAATGCCAAATGAAAGCACAGAAACAAATTAAACTCTCTCATCACACTGTCAGACAATAAATATACAAATAAGACACACTGGTGTTTACAAAGACTTTTTTAGACAAGAATTTTTCTTCCTAATGTTTCCCTTTCACTGCTAAATAATTTCATTCAGAAAGCAGTTGTTCAAATGTAACTTTTACATTAAAGATCTTTAAAAGCCTATAGTCTCCCCATTATATTTACTTTCTCTAATCTATACAAAATGAAGGATTGATCTAAACATACCCCACAACACTATTTATACTGTACTTGATTATTACATCTGATTTCCTTTTGAGCAACGTGAAGTTTCATTCAAATAGCTTTTCCTTACAAATGTGTTTCCTAAATATAAACAGAAAGGCTTTTCCCATGCAAGCATGTATCCATATGCAACTTAGAAAGCTATGCAGACAAGCCATTATTCTTTTCAAAATTTCTATTCTTTGATCACACTAACACAAATCACAAACACCAAGAAAAAAAATAACCTGAATTTAAGAATAAATAGTTCATTCCTGCTGTACAGTTTCAGGGGGAAGAATGTAGCTGAAACGTACCTCATTCAAACAGCAGTAGCATCATTAAATCACACAACTGTGACAGTAATGATAGGTCTGCTTTCTGAAATGGAAACACACACCACTGAATTGACCTGTTGTTCCCTAACTTACAACACTTATTTCAAGGCCATTTGCACCGTGCTACGTTTCTCTTTCAGAGTTTTGTTTGGTTTTGGTTTTGTTAGTGAAAAAGAAATAGATTTATATACATACAAAAGGGCAGCTACTAAAAGAAGGCATATGCCTGTAGGACAGAAGCAGTCTCCTGACTGCAACCAACATTTTATCATCTTCCCATCTTGTGACAACTGGAGTGTATTCTAGCTGAGCAGAGCTCCTACCCATTTGTCCTTGTGTCTATATGTCTGCTATATGTACAATATCATATAACTTCAGTATGATCAATAGGATTATTTTATTTACACATCATGTACCCCATTGCCTCATATCCTTTTAGACACTGTTTCTGGAAATGCAGAGCTGCGGTTGTTGCCAAACGCTTTATTTTTCTACTTTTTCTTTTATTATTTAAAAGTGAAACAAACAAGAAAATGCCATACAACTCAGCAAGAGGTTTAAAAAAATATCCAGGGTCATTCACAAGTCTCTTTTTCATATCAAGAATTTCCTCATCTTTTCCCCAAAGAACAGAATGTTTGGAAACATTTTAGTTACACTGCCGATAAAAGTAGAAGTAGTAATCAGTAAAAAATATTCCAGCAAAATAAGGGTCTGTCGAGCAGCCAGCAAAACCCTGCAGAAGAAAAATGAAGGAGATTCATATAAGATATTCTTTCAGTTGAAATGCTATTTGTCTTTTGCTGTGTTGCCGTTTGAAAAGGCTTACCGGTACAGCTACACGGAAATAGTATGCGCTGTCATACAACTTAGCTACAGGGAGAGTCCAAATATGGTGACGCCCCTAGAAGATAAATGAGAGAGAGATTAGATAACCTTATTTCCTGAGAAACTGAAGAGAAGGTTAGGCTCTGGAAACATTTCATTGACAAATGCAGTGCCAAGTAATTATGATAACAAGCCTTGGTAGCTATAGTCAAAGTATTTAAAGAGCCAGTGCTGACTTCAAACCCTGCAAATGTGGGTTTGCTCTGATCACCTCTGCACAGGAACTGACAGGCATCTAATTCCCACTGGCACTCAGCTGGCTCTGAATAACTGAACTCCCTCATTTGTTTTCTAAGCACATCCCAAAATAAATAGGGATTGTTCCTGATTTGCCAGGTGGCCTGAGAGCTTCAAGTTGTAACAGCAACAAATGGCAGTTCTGCTGATTTTGGAATAACAACTTTAGTAGTCCTCAGAAACAGGAAAGTTCCTCTATAAATTCTAAAGATATAGGTAGTGTCTTCACTCAGTATTTCAAAAACACATACAGGCAAGGTTTCATGCTGTCTTTCATTACAGGGTTCTGCCATGTACAAATTAAACAATATATTTTGTATCTGAAATGTTTATGATACACTGAATTAAAAAAATTCAATCCTCAGCTCTCCTTAACCTAATGAGCCATGGTAACTTCTATTTCGTCAGTTTCTAGTGTCTCAACTCCTTCATCTGTCTCTCCTCCCTTCACTTTCTGACACATCCTCTCTGCTGGAGATCATATGTTCATATGATAAAACTTACATGAGACTGCTGAGTCCAAATGACTGCTGTCCTGCCTTTTGGTAGGGAATAAGCCTTCCAATCCCTACGAAAATCCTCTTGAAAGAAACCTCTTCAACTAGGCAGCATTTCTAGTCTGAGTCACGTCAAATCTGAATGCTCACTGCTGGAGATTTGTTAGCTTCAGTCTTCTGAAGTGGATTTCAGGTTGACACGGGAAATCTCTTTGACCAGTTTTGTCACTAAGCTTCAAGGACATTTATGCATGGCGAAACTCTCTATGTCTGACTTAATTTCAGTTCTGTTGGAATTACAGCAAACTTGGCCAAAACGGAAAATTTTGGCTTTCTGATGGCTTTGCCACAGTTGCAGAGAAGCCTGTAACTTTTTGCAAGGGTATATGAAAAGTTGATCAGAACATCAGCTGAAGATTGGAGGCATCTCAACTGCTCTAATTTGACAAAGCACCAAAAAAATATTTTAAATCAATTAAGAGTATATTATATATGGCACCATAGATCAGAAAGCTAAAGAAGACTCAGAAATTACTTCCAAATTCAAGGATGTTTCTCTTACAATGTGTTCAGAAATGCTATTATCCTTGCTTATGCCTTTCCTAGTGTTTTAGCCAGAATAAACATTCCCAAGCAAACACTGACAAATGGGGACCTTGAAAGAGTCTTATATTTCCAGGGAATTGAAGAGAGTTTAAAGCCTTCATCAATTTACTGGAGATGCTCAAAAGTTTGCAAGAGCTGGCCACTAAATATTTTTTTTTTTAACTGGTAAAAGCTAACATGTTTTAACAGGCTTTATTCCCATTGAAGCAATCCAGAGAATGACATGTAAACTCTTGCTTTTAAAATGGAGAGTTTTCCCTAGAGGGATTTATTGGTAAACTCATGTTCACACAGAAATAGAGGGGAATACTACCATTGTTTCCAGTAAATTGAAGACTTTAAAAGTGGAATTCATTACCCATAAGATAATAATGGAAACCTAAATTAGATGGAAGTTTGGAGGACTCTGTCTCCTAAAGTCCTGAGTGATAAGTTATTCCCATTTTTTTAAGTACCTCTGGAGTTATAATGAGTTATAGTGGTGACTTAGGCTGAAGGAGACTCAAAACTCTCCTTCCAGAGAAACGCTGGATAGATTTTAATAAAAGTCAGCAGAAAAGTGACTCCAACAAAAAGATTTCATGTCATTATGGCCATGCCAAAGCCAGCTATGACTGACAGACTCAAAGCACCACTGGATATCTACTACCTTAACCAAGACCAGAATTTTGCAGCCATTAGTTTTATAAAAATGATCGCCACAAGCCAGAGTATTGCTGCAGAAATCTTACCTGTGTGGTTTCTAAGAAATCCTTCCTACTGTTTTGGCTTGAAGAATAATGGGAGCAATAATTTCCAAATGTGACTTTGCAGAGAAATATAATTAATGGCTCTGTGGTGCTTCAAGAAACAGAGAAAAATAAGGACAAAAATTATTTTATTAAAAATAAAATCAGTTCCCCCAAACCACAAACCAATATTCAAAATAAATTTATAGTCAGTGAAACTCTGAGTATGATGTATTAATCCCTACATGGGAGGGCTGTACCATTAGTTTATAATGGCATACATTTAAAAGGCAAATCTTCAGCAGCTGTAGAAAACAAGCAGACGCTTCAGGAGTACTGTTATAGTTCCTCTTATCTGAAAAAGGCAGATGTTTGCAAGGATAACATTCAAGATCAAAAGACTGGACAAGCCATTCCTTGGAAAGACAGAAGTCATGAAGTGTCAAGGAGATTGTTTGGCAGCTGTTCTGGCTATCACTGGCTTTTCTCAGAGAACTCCAAAAGAAAGGACTGGTTACTTTTGGGAGAACCCAGTGGAGTTGGGCTTTTGAGGAGAAAATACCTGCTGAGAGGATTAAGTCTGCTACTTATTCCTGCCGTAAGTCACAATTTTATGTGTTACCACAAGTTCCTGCACAAGAATCCCCTTTTACAGGGGTTGGCACAACAGGCCCAAAAAAGGTACTCTCTGGAGGTAATGACGTATGTGCCTAATAATATTTCTCTACACCAAAAAAAAAACCAAATCCCTAGGCCAAAGGCCACAATCCTGCCAATATATGCATACACGTCTGCTCAAATGATTATTAGGAAAAAACTTTAAGACTTCTGGATTTAAATATTTGTAACAATGGGTGAAATTGTCATTGGGCTGAGAATGGTATTAGGCCTATGCTACAGCAAGGGATCTACTCAGACATCTACATTAAGAACTTAGTTGTGCATAGATTTATCCCACTCCTCTGAAAAGGACCAATTTGTGTCACAATAAACATCAGGCAAGAATTTCTATCAAATTAGGAACTACTGTTGCTTTTTGTATGTGTTGTCTTTAATTGTACTTACTTTATTTCCAGTGAGATTTCTACATCCATGGGTGTGTATTTGTTAACAGGAATGACAAAGCTGTAATTTCCAGAGCTAAAAAAGGTTGCATTAATACACTTAGGATTTGCATTTAAATTTAAACAGAAAAAAAAAAAAAAAACCAACAAAAAGGTAGCAAAGACTCCTGCATGCTACAGTAAGCAACTGTGAGCAGGAGCCAGCAAAGTAACTATGCCACATTAATGGTATTTTATTCCACCACAGCATAATAAGACAATTTACCTACCTGCACTGCAGATTTTTACTGCAATAGCGATTGTCAATGCTTTGCTGAGTTTCCAAAATCTGTATGGAACTGATTGTTGTATCAATCCCTAAAAATATTAACAATAATGGTTTATTCTTGATTATTTCAATAAATAATTTCAAGAAATCTTAGATAAGAGCATAATAAAACTGCAGTTAATACAGTGGCATCTACCCTCTTGATTGCCGCTACAGGACTTGCTGCAGGTCTAAATTAGTGCTCATTTAAAAGCCTCTGATTGATTACCATCATTCTGCCATTATAGGGGAGATAAGATTCTTGTTCAGTTTGCAAGGACAAACATCCTGGGAACCTAAGATTGTACCATTTTCTTTTGGGCAGACATTGAAGGTAATTTTGATGGCAGCCCAAGTAGAACACAAATGTGTCAATATTCATTTTAATCTACTAGAAACCATGCTCATGCAAGTAATCATTACTTTGAAAAACATTATCTTTGTTGAGAGAAACAATATGGAATGGAAAAAAACTTGTTTCTACTCCTATGTGCAAGAAGACTACCCAACTTTAATGAATATTATAATTGCTTCATAAAATGTTGCCTTGAACTTGCAAGAACTTTTGCTTTTTCAAGAACTTTGTAATATGCTACATATAGGTGAAGCGTATAGCCACAATGATACTGTTTTTTGCCAAGGCAGATTAGCCCTGCAGAGCGTTAGGCAGCAAGTACCAATGTTCTTGCTAACACAGGAGCACAGCTGCTGCTTTAACATCTGGCCCAGGAATCACTGCAGTGAACTGCATCCTGAAGGGCTTGTTTCTTCTGAATACATCTATGGCATCCAGTTGGTGAATGTCCACAGTTAAACCTGAAGCATCTCAGATTCCTAAGCCAGCCCATTTCAGTTTGAAGGGGCTTAAACAGAAGGGGCTGAACAGGTTTTATCCCTTTGAGTGGAACTAGGCTGACATGCCAGTGGTTTGGGGAAGGCCCAGGTGTGGAGGGAGAGTGGAAGTCATCAGCAGATCACTACACTCCAGCTATAGCCTATGGCATCAAGCTGCTGGTATTTTAAATCCTAGAATTATGGAAAATCCTGAGCAGGAAGGGACCCACAAGAATCACAGAGTCCAACTCTAAGCCATGCACAGGACACCATGTGTCTGAGAGTGCTGTCCAAATTCTTCTTGAACTCTGTTAGCCTTGGTGTCACAACCACTTCTCTGGGGAGCCCGTTCCACTGCCTGACCACCCTCTGGGTGAAGAACCTTTTCCTAGTATCCAGCATAAACCTCTCCTGACACAGCTTCATGCTATTCCCTCAAGTCCTATCTCTGGTCACCAGAGCAAAGAGATCAGTGCCTGCCTCTCCACTTCCCATCGTGAGGAAGCTGTAGACCACTAGGAGGTCTCCTCTCAGTATCCTCTTCTCTAGGCTGGACAAACAAAGTGACCTCAGCCACTCCTTGTAAGGCTTCCCCTCCAGACTCTTCACCAAGTCTTGCAACAGGGTGCAGAAAGCACAAGGAGGACCAGGTTTAGCAGGGCCAAGCCTGTTCTTCACGTTGCACTGTGCACACTAGTTTTGTGTTTCTGTTCCTCTGTTCTACAGCAATCATTCCCTACTTTGCAGACAAACTTGATGATTATAGGCTGACCTATTCTCTGATTATAAAACATTTGTGTGGTAGTATATACTTAACTTGCAGCATGCAAAAATCCACACATATGCTTAAGTGACAAAGGGAAATTGAACATATTCATCTCAAAGAACTAGCACAGAAGAGCGTTCCTCTATGACACAACATCTTATTACAACACGTATCATAGTGATGCCTCAGAGGACTTTTTCTGAAGTGTGTACCCACGTAAAAAAAATTAGAAGGGGAATGCCACTGGGGCACACCTTTCTTCTGTTCCTCATATGGCCCTGGGTAGCAACCTGCTTTAAGTGCATGCTAGTGTATAGATGTCTTCTCATTCAAATATTGCCTAATCTTTAATCAAATTTTTATTAAAAAACCCAATCCTTAAAATGGAGGATACAGATAAACAGAAAAGACATAAGGCATAATCCTGCTCATACTGAATGAATGCCAGAGCATGCTGTTATAACATATGTAATTAGCAGATACTCATTTTTACATAAAAGAATCAATATTTTCAGCCCAGATTGGCACTGACAGCAGTGCAGAGTCACTAAAAGAGGAGCCTGAAATCAAGCCGAAAGTCTTGTGTCTAGGAACTTCATTTCATCTCCTCTGAGGAAGGCAGTGTCAGGATCCTAAGGCAGAGATGGCCCCTTTCAGCAGCTGACACTTTAATCCCTTAAGTGAGATGAGCCAAATTCCAAACACTTCCTTTACACTGTATCATGCATTTCATGCACACAAATATCACACTCATATCCTTAAGCATTTTGCTGTTAAAGGGTTAGCACAGTTGAGCACCTTGTAACTTTTTAGCCCCTGTCAAAGAAATGTCACATCATTTTATTGTGTCTGAAGCCAAGCCAACCCTCTAGAGAGGGCAGTCAGAATGTCTATAAAAACCAAATGAAGATGTAAGAATAAACTGAAAATTACAGTGAATCACAGGTTTCCTGTGGTTCCCAGGGAATAGCTTCCCAAGTGCTAATTCTCTATAATGATCAGTTATAAATAAAACTCCTCTAAATTCCAGAAGCAGAATTTCAAGCCTAAAAGTAGCTCTTGAAAGTTATACAAGTATACATTTTTACTGCATTTACTTTAAATATAAGACTTACAGTCATTTCCAAGATCAGGTCTTCCATTACGTTTTTTGACTGGATTTCGTTCAGGTAGTATGCCACTTTTGTTTCCTGTGAAAGGATGTATGTACAAACATCTCCTAAATTAGCCTTGCACAGTTGTAACAGCAAAGTATGAATACAACACCAGAAGATGTTTTGTTAATTATCTCTTAGATAAAGGTATGCATAACCACAAGAGAAATCTTTAAAATACCAAGCCCCTCTATTCAGAAGATACACACAAAATAAGTTTGCAGATAACAAGATACGAGCTTTCAAAATCTACAAGATATCTAAAACATTTCCAAAAAACAGCTGCATAGAAAAGATTTCATCACAAACACAGAACATCACCAATTTTTATAATAGAGAGACAAAGTGAAAGTCAATATGCAGTCAGGTACTTCAGGACAAATCTGATCATAAAGCCACATCTTTTTTATTAGTGAGAAAATTGCATTAATAATAATAGGCATCTGGCACACAAACATGAACTGATACAACAACTGGTAGAACAACTAAGGTTTTTGAATGAGATGTTAAGATACGGAGGACTGACCCAGTACTTCGGAGAGAGATGCCTAAACAAATTAAATAAACTGATAAACAGCTCTGACAACACAATCACCATGTTCATTGATGTCACCTCTGTAACTTCAAACATTGAACCAGTCTGGGTAATATAAGCTGATGATTTTTTTTTTTAACTGTTATTCTATTAATTTTCTCAAAACTTCTCTAGAAAAGTGAACTTTAAAGGTCTTTTGAATAATCATCACAAAGTACAACCTGGGGAAGGCAAAAAGCCCTTCAAGCGCATGGAAATGGTTTAATGCCATTCCTATGCTTTTACACTAACTGCCAGTCAAGAATCTGTTCAGAGACATGTAGCCAATAAGATGGCACTTGGAAATGTTGATCTTGCCTAAACTAACATGTTTCATCAAATACCATTTCTCAAATACCAAAATACTCCATTCTCGTGTTTTCCAAAGGAAACATTCCGATTTCACAATGGCTGTTTAGAACAAAAATTTCTGTTTCATTATATAAAAATTTATTTTACAGAAAGAAGGATCAGAATGCATTATTACTGAGACTGAAACAAGATAGCTGGATTGACTTGACTGTTTTCTTATTCGTGCCAGATTTGGTTTCCATTTCAGTATTGGGAAATAAGAAAATCCAGACTTTTCTCATGCTGTAGGTGACCAAAAGCATGGAAAAACATTAACAACTGGAATCCAAGGGCCCAGAAACAATGTAACACAAAATCATCTTTGGGATTTTAATCTGTTTTGTGTCTTGTTATGAATCTGTCACTGCTGCCAGTTATTCCTTGAATCCATTTTCTATTTACCAGCTCATCATACAGATCTTCTGGTTCTGCAAGTTTTGGTGGTTACTGCTGCATTTAGTAGTTGTCTGCTGTCCCATTTCATTATACTGTTCCACACACTTGGAATAATAGCTACTGAACAATCAATCACTTTTACATGTACAGTCAGTCTTGAGGCAGATACAGAAAAAGCCTGTTCATTCTCTCAGTCCTCCTGCATTTTCTTCTGATTTCTCTTAATAGTCTAGATATGCTAGCAATGCATTAAACGCTGTCATTTTGCATTTTCATTAGCAGAGAACTACTCTGTATGAAAACCTATATCCCCTCATAAAGGAAAAAGATTGCTCCCTCTAGATAAAAAAAAATATTTCAGCCATGCAAGTGTTGGCAGGAATATTTATTAAATACTCTGAATTAGTAAACTCTTAAAACTGTGATTCTTTTGCAGATGATGGAAGAAAGCAGTAAGCGGGCAGCAGAATTTTGTACAAAAACCAGGATAAAGACAGATTTACTTCACTAAGATTTCAACTATTATACTGAGTCCGTAACCAGTATAGAACTTTATTTTTACTTGAGTTTTCACTCGTCATAAAATTACCATTTCGTTGCTTCCTTTAAGCTGAAGCAATCTAAATCTGGAGTGCAAGGTGCCAACTGAGATCACCAAGAACCACCAAAATGCACCACAGCAGCCTTCAATAAATTGTGGTAAACTTCCATTCTTTCACATACAGTAACTCTGAGGACTTTCTCAAAGGCCCATGTGGGGTGTGAGGATCCAATTCAATAACAAATATAAAAGTAAAAGCATACAAGAATGTAATTATCTTCAAATAAGCTTGAGCTAAACTCATCCATTAAACATGATATCCACTTTTTTTTCCCACTTTCTGGTTTTAATTCATGTGAGTGGTAATATTCTATAAGCAGTATGGAAAAAAATCTGCTGATGTTTTCTTGTGGTGGTGGTACCTTACTATGAATCTGTTAACTACCATCTGAAGGCAATAAATGTGAATGTATGAGGTTGATCAAAATCCAAGAGGAGCCCTCAGCAACCTTTAATTGTGACAGAAAAGACACTGGGGAGAAACAACACTGTAAGAGAAGGTAAGGACAGCCCCTGGTTATTGGTGACACTTAACTTTAAGGGGAGAGCAGTGAGCACTAATGGCATGGAAGCAGAGGGCAGAAAAGGCCCAAATGCTGCAGGGTGTTCACACTCCTTAGTTCCACTGAAATCAAGGGGAGTTTGAAAGCCTAAATCTTCAAGAGAAACTAGTTAAAACAAATAAAGTGTAGGGGAGAAAGGTCACATTAAGCTAGACTACATAAGGATATGCTGATTTTTTGTTTGATAAATTTTGTCTTGCTTATGAATGCTTTTATTTCTACTTGAACTTTCCTAAACAGCCTTCTTAAGAAATCTGAGATACAAGGGATTAGGAGCTACAATGGATGCACTCACTAGCAGTCTGCAACCACAGAATTCAGCTGTCACATTGTAGAACAGCAAAAGGTCTGTTAAATGTGAACTCCTAAAGTAGTATTTAATTCAACTGTAATTTCAAATAGTTTTACCTTTCCACAAATCAGACTAATCAGATGCTTCTAAAATATCCAGTGTTTATCTTGCTTATTCCCCATATTTAACTCTTGGCTTTTTGTGCTGAAAACATTTTTCTTTTCATTTATCTTGGCTGCAGCTACATTAAACAGCTTGTTGGTTTTCCTTCTGTTTGGATTTCATATTGACATTGTTACCTTCCATCTGGGGATACATTCAGCTTCATTAAACTCATGCAGAACTGAAATCTTTCAGTTGCTTGTGTACTATGCTGATTTTTCGCTCTTTGATCCACACTTAATGCTATTTGGAACATAAGACCTTGAGAAGGTAATGCTTTGTGTTTATTCTTATCTTCTTTTTCCACCTAATACCAAAAGCAGTCAGCTAGGGACAGAAGGTTTTCATATTTCATTTTCATCCATCTACAATTCCCTCACTTATAAATGAGATTAATGTCTTTTTGATTAATCAACACTTTCAGGCTTCAGAGCAATACAAATTACTCAGGTATGAGCTCTTGAAAGCACTGTATTGAGATGTATCTGCCACAGGCTTACTGCAGCACTAATCACAGGAATCACAAGGACCACTTACATGCAGCTTGTCTGCCGTATAAAGAATGGCCAGTGGGTGAGTCCCACTGCAACAGTTCATACTAAGTGTCACAGCAATTGGTAATGCCAGCTCTGGCAGACATCTGAAATTCAGAAGCTGAACTGCATCCATCCCCAACTTCACCTCAGTTTGTCAACTGTGGTGCAAGAATTGTTCCAAAGGAAGAGTACAATTAGTGGTCTAGTAATACTAACATACGCTTCCAGACATTGACAATGTTAAGGACTGGCATAGAGGAACACAGATTCCAACAACTTATGCATACCTTTATGCATTAACTCTTTCTTATAAATATTATAAAAGTTGAAAATGGCACCTTCTCACACATTACACATATAACATCTGGCAGACAATAGCTGAAAGAGAATTCATTTCAGTAAAAGTATTTTATTTTATAGAGCTCTGCCTTCAAATAATGCTACTCAAAAACCCTGCATGAACAATCAGAGTTTTAATTGTAACTTTTATGTTTTCAGGTAGTTGGAATTCTGTCTCTGCCCACAGAAAAGATATCATCATACTGTGATACGATTAAGTATTTTATTTAACATCTGTTAATTCACTCTCTACTACCCTCAATCTACTCCTGTCTAACTGTAGCCAAAGGTTAATTAAAGGGATTAGTGACTTTCCAGTTCACATGAAATCATTTACTATAAATGGCCAGGAAGAACAGTGACACCTGACAAAACATTTTAGGACCCCAAATCTTAAAGGTAACCAGGCCAGATTATTCAAAAACATGTTGACTGCAATGATGATTAGTTATATCAGGATTTTTAAAATCCTCTGGACTAGGCTCTTTTGTAGGAAGCTAACTACCCTTAAAGATTCTTGCCCCTTCCCCCATACTCTCCATACAGTTTCTACTAAAATTGTAAATAACAGAAATTAATTTTTCAACTTACGTTTCTCCTTTGCATTGTTTGTTTCATAACTTAGAGATTTGACTTTCGGTTGATGAATTGGACAACAATAGACCTTGTCACAAGGCAAAATATCACAGAAATTCACTTCAGGGATCCTGCTGATGGGCTGTGTGCTCTGAGGAATTGTGCTTTCCATCTGAAACGCTAAAGCAAAAAAAAAAAAGATTATCAAAAATGCTGTGTGTCTATTGACATTTTATAACAGCACAGGAATAACAGCACAGTAGAGACACAGTACCTGTTGTAGTGGTGGGGGAGAGTAAAACAGAACTTGAGGTACTGCAGATGAAGAAAAATAATTCATTAAGAAATGGACATCAGAGTTGAGGACCAAAACAAATTGGTCCACAACCTATTACTAATTCTACTAATTCAAATTCACTAATGCTAATTTAATTACTTGCCTGTAAACCGGATGTTTTTCAAAACGTCTGTCATGAATGCTAAGTAAATATAGGCTCCATATTGTCAAAGCACTGTAGAAAGAGAATTATTCTGTAGATTTACATCTATCTCTTATGTAACATAATATGAATAATAACCTTGGCAGCACCTTGTCCAAACGTCCACTTTCCCTTTTGAGGCACATTCAAGGTGCACCACACAGTGTGACGTGGACAGAGATTAGTTGCATATGCAACTAATGCATATTTCACTTTTATAAAATTATTTAAACTCTCCAATATCACCAGGCATATTCACTGTTAATTTTAATACATTGTGTTCTTTGAGCAGGAAGGGTGAAAAGAAGAAAAAGAAGTGCTATCTTCTTTCTGATAAGTAGAAAGGGGAAGGGAGAAACAAGTCAACTTGTTGATAAGTAATTGTTACCATAGTGCCATAATAGCAATCAAAGCTACTATAGTCACCCGGAAAATCTTCATGGAGCAAGATTCTTTGGTCTTTGACAAACAAACCTAGAAAAAAAAAAGTTTGCTTAATTTAAGTGGCACATAACTAAGCTACTACTAGTAGATTAAGAAATACTACACTAGTCTGACTTTAAGTCACCTTTCTTTCTTTCATAGGAACATACAAGTTGTCCTTATAGAGTGGTACTCGTCTAAGGAGAAAAACTTCAGTAATGAAAGGCTGCCTGAGACTGTGAGTGCACTGTGAACTGTTGATAGTCTGGGGACACAAACATTACAAAGGAAGAAAGATAGTTAAAAATGACAGCTCCTTATCCATTCTTCCTGCCATTTTTCATACTCTTGAAGAATTTCAGAATCAAATGAAGAACTCAGTAAGCAGTGGCCAAAAGTAAAAGCTCAGCAGCTTTCAGTGTGTATTCAGACCATGTTAAACCAGGGCTGGTGTAAATACAGAAGAAAGGCACTTTACAAACAAGTAAGATGATCTTAGATGATGAAGCATTTGACTGTCATCATGTAACAAAGAATATTTGACCTATTATTTTCTCTTGCTCTTTGGCACTGGCAAAAGCAAGGTAGGCAAATGAGCATTGGTTCATCTTAAAGAGCAGGACTTGGCAGACTAGGAGGATTGTCTTTTAAAAGGTCAACATATATTTCCTAACTCAGCCAATCCCTGTGAAAAGGGGTGTGTGCTTCTATACCATATGAGCAAGAGGAAGTAATTCAGCAATAGCAATATCATCTTAGCCGGGTCTTAACCACCTGAAAGACATCGTTATCCAGTACAAAACAGGAGCTGATAACTGCAAACCACAGTGAAAAACACACTCAAGGATGAAAGCTGAGGAAGAATCAGCATCACTGTGCAGAATTCCAAATCAAACTGAGCATTTCTATGTAAGACTGCACTACACCATACAAGCACAACTACAGGCTGAACATTCCTGTCCTGTTGGTCTCCCTCCTCCTTCACACCATTATGCAGCATGGATCTACTCTCACACAGACTATGTATAGACAAGAAGTGTCTTGTACATAATATCTATCTCAGTACAGTTAATTTTTAAGCTTCTAGCATGACACTAAATAATCCTGGATAAGGAATTTGATTATATTTACAAATATGAAAGCTTTCACCAATATTTCAGCACTTACTTTCTCATAAACATATTTTGTATATTTAATTTCACTCACCTTGCTGGATTTTAGCGGGACTGATTTTTTTGATGGCAAAAAACTAGTAGCTCGACTATACCTGCTGTAAGAGACAAGATCTGTTTAACATTCAAATCCATCAGCAACTAATAAATGAAAAAAAGACATTTTCAATAGAGTGTTAATGTCACTTGCTTTTGCAATTTTAACATTTACAAAGAGAAAGGCAGAAGTGTCATCAGACATTTTCAAGCACAAAGGTCTCTAGTTAACTCATTCAGGTGAATGCTATTAAATGCTACATTTGATTTCAAAGAAAAGTTGGGGAAATGATTTAGAAACAGGAAATGCTCATCATTTCCACTGAAGCACTAATGAAGATTCTTTCTAGCAGAAGCTCTGCAGATTTGTCTTAGAAGCAATTTCCATATCCAGACCTGTAACTGGATATAGTCTACCCTTGCTTTATGCAACTGCAGCAATTACAAAAATTACTGCAATTTAACAGCTGTTTCAAATATTAATTTTGTCAGTGAGTTAAAAAAATATGAGAAATTCGGGGGGGTTGCACAACTTAAATGTTGGAAATGAGATGAACTCCACTGTCAAGCAAAATTGGTTTTCATTTCTATCACAGAGATCACTTACCAACTTGTGTGACAACTATAAGAGAACATCCTAGACAGAGGTACCTGACTTTGCTCTCTTCACTGACTGTTGATTTTAAACTGCTCATTCGTTTCAGCCTGGCCAGTTTCCTGTTCCACTGTTCCAGTTCTTCTATTCTGACTTCAAGATTGTTCGTTACTTTACAAAGTTGCTTTACAGCACCAACATTCTCCATAAAGATCTGATCCTAAGAAACAAAACAATGACAAAAGTAGATAGAGTATATTCATCAATCAGATGTAACAAGCAGACATGAGTACAGAAGTCACATATGTAAGGACACACTGAATACTTAAAATGCAAACACAAGTTCTCACTGTAAATGGGATGCACTATAAAACCCTTTTTCCAGATGTTCAATTGGCAGTAAATTGAAAATGAGAACTTGCAAAAAAATTTGAAGAATATAAAGGGCTTTTTAGACTAAGAATTTAAGCTATATTATACCTTCACACTGTGTTGAATTTTAAACTTTGACACTGTCACAACAGGCATCTGCTATTTGATTTTCAGTGCTGCAGCTGAACAAAGATTTCAGAATCCCCTAGTAAAATGTACATCCAACCACCTACCTACAGGTATTAAGTAGGATCAGACAAGCCAGAGTTTCTATCCATGTTGTATGCATAATGCTAATCACACAGGGATCAGTGAGAAGGGAAAAAACCAAAACAGAGCTCAAGATGTGATGGCATAATATTTTGCTCTCCCCTTAAGCCTCTCCAGTCTCTTACGGGAGTCCTGTAAGTTTTATTATCACAATTAGCTCTGCAACACAGTTCAAACACCTTCCATTTACTCCTGAATATTTTACCCAAGAAGACCCTTCTGTTCTCCTACCCCTGCTTATCATCTAGATATCAATCTGCTGCTAGAGAAGCCCTCAGTACAATCATCCACGCAGTTAGTATTTTATCCATTTCTGATACAAAAATGGGTACTGATCCGCTATAAGAGCATGGTAGCAGCGTACTTTCTCTGCTGTGTTTGAAAGAATGGCTTTCTTATACATATATACAACCAGACTAATGCCATTAAACCTTGGATGAAGCTATTAATGCAGCTAATGTTACTAAGTGTTCCAGTCCAGTCAAGTTATGCAGAAGAATGGCAAAAGTAGTTTTGCCTTTCACGTTGTAAATGCCACACACACCTTTTTTTTAAAGGTGAATGCATTCCACAAAACCAGACAGTATTTTGTACAAGCAGAATCAGAACACAGTTATAAGTGGTAAGTTGCAAACTTCCCTACTGCCAGAAGACTAACAGCCTGTTTAACTAAAAAGTGATTTCAAAATAATCTTTTGTGCCTAGAACTGTGAAATCATTTATATGGTCACTTGTCCTGATATCAATGATATGCAGCAGCTGCCCTTTCCATTCTCTTCAAACCATGCATGAATCACTTCTAGGTGGCCTCAACTAGCTGAGAAAATAGCTCATATGGTACAATGAAGCAATACTTTCTTGGGGAGAAAAAGGACTGATTAGAGTTTTACTGCCTCACTGGTGACAAAGTATTGAGCACAGCGAGACTGAGAAGAAAAGAAAATATTGTCTCAAAATAGCAAATTTCACACAGTTGAGACATTTCTCTAGGAAGCAGCAGAGCCTGCTACAAATGTGCAATGCAATCAAATGATTTTACAGAGTTCAATAGCTCCAGACAGGTGACTGACAAAGAGACACAACAACAGTAGCCAATGTCCCGCTTATCTGGAACTAAACCTGGAATACGAGATAATAAAGTTCAAGGCCTCATCACCTGTCAAACTAAAAGCAAAGATATGGGGCACTATCCATTTGCTACTCAAGGTGCTCAGCTATTCTGGAGTTCGGAGCTCCAGAAATTTAAATCAGATGTTCAACCTGGACAACAGATGTTCCAAATCTCTGAATTCAATATACATCTTAAAGTGTTAGACACAGATCTCTCCTGCCCCTGTCACCCCAAAGGTCACAGAATTGACATTCACATGCTGTGCCACAGGTGTCAGGAGAAAGAGGAGAAAGCACAGATCTACCGAACCATAATAAAACACTGAAGTGTTTGTCAAGTAATTCCAGCTCTGGACAAGTAGTCAAGAAAATGCTAAGCAGCAAATAAGCCACTGCTGTAACAACCCATTCCTGCTTGGGCCACATACATAGCAGAATAATGCTCTGCAGGTGTGAAGTAGAAAGTAGGCTCTCTTCATTTGCTAGGTCACATCCCTGGAAGACATCCTGGCAAGCATTATCTAGAGACCCAAGGTACAGAGGAGAAAGGGAACATGATAGGCCCAAACAGCAGTGCTGTGAGGCACTGTTTGAGATGGTATTTTGTGTGATATTTCAGAAAAAAAGAGATATAAATCAAAAGCTCAATTATCCAACCTAAAATTTTGTCAGAAAAAAAAACAAACTGACTACCTCAAAGCAATTTTGCGGGGGCTTAAAACTGCAAATGATGCTGCAGCTGTCACACAGTGTAACAGGAAGGGCTAAAGAGCAAAATTAACTTAGTGTCATGATCTGACAGCACTGCTCTTCTCTGACCATCTAGAAATTGTTGGAACCTTGACCAAATTCAGCAATTTTCTAAGTCTCCTTTTCAACAGTATCTTCGGAAAGTGCTCTTTCCACAACTTTATTCAAGGTTATCTTATTCATGCTTCTTTTATATGGAATACAACCTAGAAGCTTTAACCTATGAATTTAATTTATTTGTAGACTGTCAAAAGAAGACTAGTGAAATACAAAATTTTTAATAGGTATTTTCTCCAAATTTGGTGGTGTAAACTTCTGTTTTCTAGAGAATAATGAAAGAATGCATTATGACAATTAATGCAGGATTGTGTTCATGATATCATCCAGACAAGATAAGGTTACCAATCTGTAAAACTTCTCTCTTCTCATTATCAGCTGTAAGTGGGGAAAAGTTGGGAAGTGGTCCTTGGCCTGCAGTGAACCGGCACTCAACAGAGGGGCCGCTCTGTTCTGGACAAGCACTGTCTGCAGTCCTGTGTGACTAAGGCATTGTTTCCAACCTATGAGCATGGTAATTGCTTTGTGTGCCATAAACATTTCATAGTATATGATTTTGAAGCTATAATAAGGATTTCAGATTGCCAAAAAAACGTGCACACAGAGGTAGCATTTGTATTTGCTATGTAGAGGTTATATCAGGATTAGAGTAAGGAAGTTTTTATATAACAAATAGAATGCCATCATTGCTTTGCTCACTTCTGGAACACTTTATTAACTGAAACACTTAAACACAAAAAAATATTTTGGAGTACCACCTGTTGAACTAATGCTATGAAATCACTCTCCACTTTTATTCAGAAAACTTAGGTTTTTTCCTTTTCTCTTTTATTGTGTGTTTATATAGTATTGTAATCAAGTTTTTTTCTTCAAGACCATACCTTGTCAACCATGAGGAAGTTTTCTATTTTTTCTCCATCATCACAAGCAACATCTCCAACTTCTCTAACAGCTTCAGGTAAAAGCTCCTTCACTTCCTGGGCTATTATTCCTGTTCACGAGATAACAAAAACTTAAGTCAGGAAGCACAGTGGCCTGCCATTGAGAATGATTATATGCTTTCTGTTGACCATCCTAAAAGTTAAAGGCAGAGCCAAAGATGATCTAGAATTTCTCTCTGGTAGAAAAATCCAGGATTTCACTTTTTTTTTTTCTCCATTCCACAGAAAAAAAACCAGAAACCTTTAGAATTTTTATTTCTCTGCAATAAGAACAAAATTGTTTGTAATCACCTACTTCATTCTCATTAAACCTATGGGAAAATAACCTCCTATCTTTAAAAAGTTGAAACAGAAGTTGTAAAATTACCAGAAATACTTGATTTTGGCATTTTTATATCACAAGAGATACACAGCAAAGCATGCAATTGCAGTGTCATAGGAAATGAGGATGAAATAGCAGGGTGTTAAAAGGCACTATGACACAGTGGATGGACGTTAATGAAAAATGGGAACACAGCAGACTGAATACCTGTTTCATGGGTATCTTTTATTCCCATAACAGATGCAAATTCAGGCTTGTAGTCATATTCCACCAGCCTCATTTGTGTTATTCTTCTCAACTGCTCATTTGTATCGACCTAGTTGGATAAATACCAAGATTTACATGTTGAAACACTAAGAATGGCATCTAGGACATCACTGAGATAGCCACTAGCCTGACACAATCATTTGGCTGATCCTCACATTGAAAAATATGGACAATCTTCCCATTCCCTATTATCAAAGTGCTGTTTGTATTTGTATTGCCAGTTACCCTTCAGTTTGACAACTCCCAGCTTCCACGCACAGCCTCTTCCCAAGACCATAGGCAGTGGTTCTACAGAGCACAGTGGTACATCTGATTTCTTTAGGCCAGCATTTCAGCACACCCAGGATAAAGAATCTGCTTCACGTGTCAGAACAATGATCCACACATGTGCTGTGGTGCAAACATAAATGCCCTAAATACTCCACAGCCCTCACCTCCCGGATATTCTGTTTTGCTCGGCTGTCAGATGGATGCATGACTCTGCCCATAACTTTTGCATTTCCACAGACAACCAGTGCTTCGTCTGGTGCATCTGTGTTAATTCCTACTCGACCATGATAGACTATCGTCTCTGGAACGTGTCCTCGCTGCCACAGTACATCACTGTCATTCTCAAACTGCCCTGGATTAGATGCCTGGAAGAAAAATTTGTGTTTAAAGATATAGTATAGCATGGATGTACTATTGCTTATTCCATTAGAAATTCAGGGAAAATGAAATGCCAAATCTTTAATATTCAAATTGTATTCAAGAGCTTTTCTAACACACCAACATTAAAAAACAGAGTGAAGTTACTTTTAGTGTTTCTGCTCACACAGCATTGGCCTCATTGCTTTTTCCTTTGCATTCTACTTTATTATCACCTTAAGTGAAATTGTCAATATCCAAAGCTTTCCAAATTTTATCTTTGACCTTATGCCACATAACCATTCTTTATTTACCAGTAAATTTAGCTGAGACTGGAAATCAGAAAATAGCAAACGAGGTAGATATTAAATACATGTGGTTTATAAAATCCACTGTAATGTTCTGAATTTACTCATATTAGAAATTTAATGTTAAGGAAATGGGGTCTTTCAAAGAACACCAATAAAACAACAGAATGTGTATAACTAGAAAGGGCATTTGATTTCCATAATTAGTTTTGGGTTGGTTTTGATTTTTTTTTAACTTTGAATTCAGGATTTAAAATCTGAGTCTGAACAAAAGTATGATCATGATAAAAAGTTTGCAGTCATTTAAAGAAGGCAGGCTTTCGCAAGGCTTTGCCATCTACAAGGCATAATGCTGTGAACTCACCACTGTTTGTCACAATCAGAGCATGATCTGATATGCCTGACAACCACTACTCAGCTGATAGTTTTGTTGTGTTTTAGTGTATAAAGGGCCAGAACATGAGTTGCTTTCTTTTACAGTGCATTTGTACAGCTTTGCCACTTTAAGGCAGAGCTGACTCACTTTACCCTGCCACTGAAGCCCTGTTACACATCTGGAAAATTACTTTTCTTTCTTTCTAGCTTTCCTGTTGATATTTTTACCACCTCAGATCACAGCCACTTGATCTTCCTGCTTTTCTGCCTTCTTTTTCCTTTGCCATGTTTGCAAAATCTCATTCCGTGGATTCCTATTAAAAAATTGTCTCACACACATTGAAGGAGCCCTCTTCCTTGAAATTTCAAAAGAACCTAATATTAAAAATGACAGGAAAATGTAAATTTCTAAATCTTACTTAAAAATATTTATCTTGTAAGGCAAAAAGAATGAGTCAAATGTGAAAATGGAACAGCTTTCTCAAATTAGTAAAGAGGTGATATCTGTGACACTGTAGATCCAGAAAGAGAAATTCGGATGAAAGCAGTATTGTGGAAATTAATGGATAAAAAAAGGAAAAAAACTATATATGTAGCAATGATGCAAACACAGTGTTTCAGTTTCCTGAAATAAAAAGAACCCAAAGCAATGGCCAGGATGATAAAACTTCTCAGCGGGGCAGAGAACTGCTGAACTCCAGACACTGCTTTCAAAGTCCTTTCATGACTCTGCCCAGAAAGGAGTTCTGAGCCTTATTGCCCTCCAAAAACCTAACCATAACTGCAGGAAGAGGGTTCATGGCACAAGAGGATGCTGAGACAAAAAAGGAGCCAGGACTGAAACCATCTGAAAGCCCTCTTCTTCCTTTGGAAATCCCTGTGCAACACCCCACATGCTGGAGATTTGCCCTTTCGCTCTCTCCAAACCCAAATGCTAAACCAGGCCATAATCATAAGCCTAGGGAGATGATGGGCCAAGTAATGGCCTGCAAAAACTCATGCAAGGGCTAATAGCTTTTGACAGCCCTCACCTTTCTTTAGGAGCCCCTTCCTAGCCCCACTTAATACACTAGAGCTCTTGGTCTTACTTGACTCTAGAACAAAATGCTTAACCTATTCCACTCTATAACCCAAGGACTAGAAAAAGCCAACACAAAAAGAAGCTGCTTCTCAATTGATCCACAAGAAAAAGTTCACTGAAATGTGATCTTCCAGAGGCCCTCTCCATCCTTTGCAGCCCACCACATGGCACCTACGCATTTCCCAGCTTTCTAAGCCCTAAGCGTAATATTCACCCTAGAAATAACCAAACCCCTAGACCATGCCCAGTTCAAATGTTAACACCGGTTACTGATCACATGAAAAAGGGGCTGGGACTGAAAGCTTTCAGCAGCCCCCACCTTTCCTTGGCAGTCTCCTTGCAATCCCACTCATGCTGGGGATCTGTGCTTTCTCTCTCTCCTAACCCTGATCTTCCATTGCTCCCGTAACACCCCAGCTTTGCATTTTTTCTCTTTTCCAAGTCTAACTGTAGACTAAAGTTGAGTACTAAAAGGAAAACTTTATGTGGATCAGGGGACTGAAAAGTAATGGTTATGAGGAAAAGAGACTAATTCTTCCTGTTTCTAATCTGAAACCTATATTACTACCACCAAATTAAGAGGTGGGACTCTCTGGAAACACACTGGAAAGGGACAGCTATGTGTCTTAATCTGCCTAGAGCTACTTGGCCTTCTTTCCTTATATTTTTCTTCATTATCCTCCTTTGAAAATGAAGCCTCTAGCCAATGAAAGCATTTACCAGATTCCTGGCAAGTGCAGGAAATTGTTTCACCTCAAATAAAAAAAAAATCTAGAAAAATCAACATATTTTGTATTGGAACACAAAACAAGCTTTCTTTTTAAATTCTTCTATAGCTCTACTTTTAACATTTTTAAACTCTGATAATTAAAAAAGAAAATACTCATACAACATACAATTTTAATTTTTTTCCCTCAATCTTTTTGAATCAGTGGTAATTTTATACCCAATAATCATGCCCCCTCATAATCTCCTGTGAATAGGAAAACAGTTAATACTTTTATATGAAAGCAATATAAATTTATACCTACCCTCACAATGATCTTTTCAGAGACATTTGCAGATAGTAGGTAAAGTTGGTCCTGAGAGACAGCATACAGTCCAACTACCAGCATGAAATATCTAATTTGAAATTGATTTATTGAAGACAATAATTAAAGTAATGCCTTCTCACAGAAAAAAAAATTGTTTTAAATACAGCTGTTATTATAGATACATAAAAAGAGAGCCAGAATGTTTTTTAAAGTGTATATGTTATAGAGTTTTTTCACTCTCAAGAAATAATGCTCTTACAATCCCCACAATCACTGAAAATTAACAAAGTTACAGTAATTTTGACAAATTTAAGTAATGAAGATTCAAGGAGGAAAACCTTTCTTTCCTCAGAAGAAAATGATCATTATATGATTTTTTGGCCTCCTGACTTTGTCACCCATTATTCTGCCTATGATTTCCTGAAACGATCTCTAACCATGAGGATGAGGTTTGGGGGTCTTTTATTCTCAATAATTCTGTAACTCTAGAAAATGAGGCCTTTAAGCAGATACCAAGTACCACAGAATTTGAAATAAAATTTTATAATACTGAGATTTTTCATAACCATTAGCTTCATTCTAAAGCAGACCTTCTCTTTTCCACTTCCAACACACAGATCAACTAGCTACAGCAATACCTCTGATCAGGATTAGGTTTCCCCTTTTTTCTCATATTATTTGCTGTTGTTTCACTGAAGTGCAGCCTTCCCAGTGTTACTTTAGTCACCTGGTCCCCTGGCAGATCAACTCTAAAACAGAAAAGGAAACAAGATCATGGAGGTAAGCATTTGGACATCTACCTGCTCAAGCCAGATTTCCTCAAACTTATTAAAACAGGTCTAAGAAAAACTGGCAAATGAAAAAAAGAGAGGAACCGCAGTAAAAATGCAGTTTGGTTTCTAAAAACATTAAAAAGAGTGACTACATCTAGGAGATAAACAAGATAAAGCACCAGCAGTGGTAAACTGTTCTTATTACTAAGAGTTTTGTGTTTCTTGGTCTGTTTGTCTTGAATGAAATAAATGTATGTGTTCCATATGATGGCTATTTGCTGTTTGCCAAGGTTAATGGCTGCTTGCTTATTATTGGACCTGACTTTCCACATTAAAATTAATAGATTTTACTCCTTGTCCTTCTTCTCATCTGCACCTAATTTGTGTATCTGGAAGTATAAAATACATAGTGGTACTGCTCCTGTAAGTGATAAATAATACAAATAAAGAGTTTTCATGGATAAAACTACAGTCCACCAAACAGTCACATATGAAACAATTTACATACATATTTGTCAGTATGCCAAAGGAAGAAAAATGTCATGATAGTGATAATTGAGTGAAAATCGAGTTCTTCTCCCAAGCTCAAAGTTGAGCTTCGCTAATATTATAGCACAGCCTTTATCCCAGCACTGTCCTGTCTAACTTGACACTGTCTTATCTCTTTGTGTTATAAGGCTGATTTAATTATTTACAGAGAACAGAACAGCTCCAACAGAAGACGCTTATGCCAGAAGAATAAACATTGATTTTGCCAGGGAGTTAAGATGCTGAAGAATGGTAGAATTCCAGGAAGAGGCTGCATGAATGTTTCTAGCAGAGCCATTCCCCCTTAAAAGCAGTGCAAATATATCTCATGCCCCTGTAGGACAGGAACATTACTGACATTTTTTAAGATTCAAAACGCATCTGCCATATAGCTCTAAGCAGCATACAAGAGTGTGCTAGCTGAATATAAACATTTTTGATAGACATACTTAGCACATTTGTAAAGCTGCTGAAAATTTTTCTTACTGAAGGGCAACCAGGTATACGTTGTACCCTATCTCTGTACCCAGAATTGAATTTGGATAAAAATCAGAAAACTGCTTAGAGCTACTATAAGTTTTCAAGAAACAACTACTTCACATTTCAAACCGACCACATACTGAAATAAAATGGAATAATTTCCTCAAAATTCTTACTTAACAGGATGGAAAGTTTTTTTGCTTCGATCTGACTGAGACTGTTCAATAGTAATTGTTTGATTTGGAGCTTCCACCTATAAAGGAAAAATAATTTTCAAAAATTACAAGAATATTAAATTTTCAAACACATAAAAATTTAAATAGAAATTAATAGGCAAATTTTGTCGGAAATGGTGAAATCTCTCTCGTTTCTAATGGAACTACATAGAAATTAATACAGGAACTGACTCAGGATTGATTGATAATTGACAGCTAGTCTGAAGATCCAAGTCTTTCTGTGTATGTAATTTGAAAGGAAAAAAAAAAAAAAGGAAAGTCACGCATTAATTTGCAAAAGAAAAATTGCTTTCTGCATCTGGGCTGTTATTGGCTCATTCTATGCCAAAGCATAAATGCAGATATTCAGCATGAGAACTAAATCTACATAAGGTAGTTCCATGTTCCATACATTATTTTAACATCTATTTCTGTACCTTTTTGGTACTTTGCTTCAGATGGGAACAGATGACAGAAATATTTGCTAATTTCCTCTGCATTAGAATGCATTAAGCAAAACTGGTAGTAACTGCCACGTAAAACAACTACATGAATTTTTTTACTGAATGTTGGTAGTAAGTAAAAAAAAAAAAAAACTGGTAAAATCTTTCAGACATTACAATTTCTTACTACTTTTGTATATGCAGGTTTGTGGACCCATACTGGAAATTCTGTTCCACATAGGAGACACTAGTAGCATGAAAGAGTTCTCCTTTGTCAGATCTTGGTCAAAAATTACTCAGAAAACAGTCTTTTACCTCATTATATGGATAACTAAAAGTAATAATCTCAAAGAGGATAAACACTCACCTTAATTCCATAAGCTTTCAAGTAAAACTTTTCTATTGGTTTTCCCCCCAGCTGAGTTTTGACATATTTTGGATGTCCAGTGATTCTAATATGGACTGTGATTTGGAAATGATTCTTCTTCTGGCACACAAAGGCATCATCTGCTGTTGAAAAATTAAATCCTTTATCTGTGACAATGTGATATCCTACAGCAGGTCTACAAAAACAAGAAGAAAGAATAGCAACTTTAAGTACTGACATATTTGAGTCACATCTCGAGTTTCTATTTTTTTATGTGGTCTGAAAATCCATCTGATTTTTAGAGGCAAAATGGGAGCTGAAACACATCCCTACAATCACCAGTTCTACCAGAATTTTCTTCATAGCCTCTCATAGGTGTAAAAATGAAAATGCATATAACGCGTCCTTTAATTCTAATCTGACACATGAAATGTTTGCAAACCAGAGGTGGAGAGGCTTACACAATCCTCACTTACAAATCTGATATAAAGGAAGTCTATGCATCTAAAATCACAACAAAATCTTTTAGCATATTTAATCATTCATTATAACACTGCTATAAACAACAGTCTGCAGTCAGTGCTAATGAGCCAGGAAGACTCCTCATTTTGTTCACAGATTCCCACACCAAGCTCTTCTGCAGAAGCTACTGGGATTCAAATAAGGCTTTACTCAAGCCAAAGGAAAAGTATCGGTACTTGACCCTCTGGCCAGATGACTAAAAAACTCTCCTTTATATGTTGTCCTTCCTACTCAAGCAAGCCTATTTTATTTATTCAAAGGGTTAATTTGTCACTCAAAGAGCAAGAGTACTCTGTCCTTATGACTCACAGTAAACAAGGAAAGGTATCAAAAGATCCTTCTAGAAGAGACAGTGAACTCACCATCCCACAATGTTTCCAGTCCTTTGATTTAAGTGATGGATAATCCTGAAATAACAGGACTACATGGCAAGGTTACTTTATAAAGGCTCTGGGTTTTCTTGCTAATGAAAGTTTGATAATGATGATCTTGTCTTATGCTACTGAGAACCTCTCATTAACTCAATTAGTGAAGACGGCTTTTCATAACTCTTCCTTTCATTTGCATATTATTTGTTGGAAAAAGCAAAAGGTACAGACTTCATAAGAAACATACAGACTTTATTATCTTTTTATAAATTATGAACAAAATTCCCCTTTCAAACAATCCCTGACTATCTGGGACAAGGGAAAAAGGGAACTATTTCAAAACTACTAAGTCATATGTTACTTCATATTTAAAATTATAATGAAGTGTCCACCATCTACTCAAACCATTGTTATTAAGGAAGTAAAACTTCTCCAGTTCCTTCCTACAGTGGGTAATTTTTTTATTGATGTAGGAAATGTATGTATTTCATAGTAGGGAAAGGAGTAATTTTTCAGATTTAGGTGTGCAGTAAGTTCATTGACTCATATTCTTAAAGCAATTTCAGACTATTTGCTTGCATGCAGACAAACAGCTTGAGAATCAAAAATTAAACATTTCCATGTCTCCAAGTTGAAGTGTTTGGAACAATGACTCCCAAAGAGCAATTCTGTGTTATAATTTTCTGAGTATGTCATTTACAGTAATTAAGAGCAAACACATAATTTGTTCTTAGTGCACAAAGAATGGTGAGTCTTACAGTAAATAACTTTTAGGTTGCAAGGGATATCCCTGTCACACAAGCATCCCCTGTTGGAAATATGCTTAGAATTCCTTTTTCTATTCAGAATTTAAGTCTTCAGACAACATCTTTGGAACAGAGCCTCACCAATATGGGGCAAGGGGCCAAGACAGTGCCATCAGACAAAATGCAGGGCATAACTAACGGCAGAGTAACCTTTTCTAATGAATCCACCTTAGCTAATAGCATTTTTGTTGTGAAAATTAAATAACCAAAAGGTTAAAATACTGTATGAATAAAATGGAAAATAATGATTAACCTGAGAAATGCCCCTAAAGTAGGCACAGCAGTTTGAAGGCATAGGATCAATCCATCTACACTGAATAATGATAAGCACATGAGTCTTTTGAGGCTAACAGAATACAGGACCACTACTCAAAAAATCTGTGCAATGTGTTGTAATTACAGTGCATCTTGGAACAATGGCACTGCTGTTGACCTCACACAGTAAAATGTGTTATGCTCCCATCACAGTGTGCAAACAGGGAACATCAGTGTCCACTAATGACACTGATACAACCTCAACTCCCATGAGAGTTTTCGGCAGGCTGGGCTAGAGGAACATTAAAATTTACTATGCAATATAATTCCTGTGGAGACAGTGACAAATTTTGTGTACCAATCCTGAAGAACTAACCAGATGCTGTAGAAAAGGCTTAATTTGTTAAAAGGGTTCATTCACTAAATCTTAGAATGAAGAAAATCAGGGATGTAAAGTGAACTTGGAATGACCTTTCCCAGATCATGTGGCCAAAAAAAGAAAAATATTTACAGTTTGATTTACACAGGAAAACTCTAAACCTTTAACTAAAACAGTTGCATGCCATACACAGGTGTCTATAGTTTTTAAGACTTAGGTTATATGAGCTCAGAAGTAATACAGCTATCTTCTAATTCCACTTTTCTTTAATGTTTTAGGCCTCTAGAAGGAAAGGTGCCAAATGCTTGGCCATTACTTGCCCCAATGAGCTTGACAAAATAACCAAAAAGTTAACTGGTATTTTAACTCACTTTTCTTTAGTCCCTAAATCCCAGAAGGGAAATCAGAAAACCTGCCATGAATTTCAACCAGTGTTTAAAGATCTACTTATCTGATACATGTGCAAGGTCATACTTCATCATGCCTTTTATATTTGCTTCTCTGATCTTATTTCCAGTAAGAACAAAGGATGCCAAATGTATTGTTTATTCCTACAAAACTATAATAACAGGGGGAAAAAAAAGAAAAAAAACCACAAGGAACCACGTTTTCAGATGCAAACATCAGTGCTTACAGTTTTTCATAATTAGAGTTAAACAAGCTGTTCCACTGAGAAGTTTGATATGGTTGCCATGTTAGAGCTTGACAGCATTTTTCCAAAGCTGCATTCTGTCCATCACTGTCATATTCTTGCAGTTCAGCAGCACAGTCCTTAAGAGTTGCTGTAGAGAGATAGTGACAATTCAGTTATCACTTTTGGAAATAGCCAAAAGTCCTACATAAACATTTTTATAAATATATTTACATATATACACATACATATAAATCATAAATGCATTGCATAGATATTTTAATCTGATTGTCCTTTGCAGTCATTCCAAAAGATTGCTCTAGAAAATAATTTTTTCAGCTTTCCTGATTTGCAAAATATTACTAGGAAATATTGCAATATTTGCAAAATATTATTAGAAGTAGCACTTCCTATTTTTTATTCTCTCCAAAAGGATGGATAGGTTCCTTTGGGGAGGGGGAAAAAGGAAAGCTAAGCATTTTACTGTACATTTGCAACACTGCAAGAAGCAATTAAGCAAAATAATTACATTTGTTTCTCATTCTCTCTACTACAGATTTAAACTGAAGAACATACAGCAGGAAGCACAGTTTTCCAATAGCAAGCACATTCACCACTACCTCTGGTTGATCTGGTTACTGCTTTGATACTATAAATTATAAATTTCTGAGATAGACAGGGTTAACCACAATTCTCTGATATTTACATTTTATGAAGACAGAGAAGAATGTGATAAGAGAGACAGATAAATAGAGTGCAGTAAGGATAGGAAAAAATATGTCATTGAGCATATAAACTAAGATTTACCCACAGCCAGCAACAGCATAGTAAGATAGAGCCTATAGAATCATTTCAGGCCCAAGCTTCTTTTGCAAGTCCCTGCTTCTGACACACAGCCAAGTAAAGATATATATATAGATATATATATAGAAAGAGATATACATAAAATACCACAGTAAAGAAATTTACACCTTATTTCTACATGATCCCCAAGCCATTTTTACCAATGTCTGTGTTCTTTTTCCAATGCACATGTGAGATTTTTTTTAACAGTGACACCTAAAGAAAGCCTATTTCAAAGCTATGTCTTTAAGCATTAAAAAACAGCAATAGCAATTTTAGATACAGAAGTGTCTGTTTGTCTTTCCAGCAGTGGTTGACTGAGAGGACTAGTCACAATCAAGAAACACTGATCAAATAATAGATGCCAAAGGAAAAGTAACCTGCTAAATCCAGTTGCTACTCATTAAAAGTGTTCTAAAAGATCGACTTAATGCTGAAAAATAACTTACTCTGAAGGAATAACAAGCAACTCTCAGATTTTTCACTAACAGACATGGGTGAAAATTCCTCAGATAAACTGTTCATTACAAACTGTTCATTTGTAGAGAGCTTCACACTTCACAGAAGCTGATTCATTTCTGTACATGCCTGATAAGCCTTTGTGTATCAATTGATATAAGCTTAGCATTCTTATCTTGATAAAACAATGAACCAAATTAATTTGGGGAAGAGGTGGGAAAGAACATACAGCTTTCACCCAGTTTGCGCATGGATACACTTCATGGAAAAAATATGGAGTGGAGGTGATAAAGGGAAACTGAAATCTCTTTAGTCATTTACCACATTAATTCCTTGTAAAGCTGACCCAAAATGGTTTCTTTGCCCAGTCAATTTAGTGCCAAGCAAAGTCAGCAGAGTATGGTATCATCTGTGTATTTCAGGCTCACTCACGCATAGAAAAGGGCAGAATACTCTGTCCAGAGAATCCTCAGGAAACGTGAACCTCTAATGCTTCTCCACCAAATATAAATAGGTCCTGGTTTTCCAAATCACTGAAAAGGTAAATTCCTCCAAACCTGGTAGTGGAGTACAGACCAGTAATACCACTACCTTTCCAGAGCCAGCAGGAGCTATGCTCTTAAAGTATTCAATTGTCTATGGCATAAAACGTTAAATTTCATCTTCGCAGAGTTTCTTACCTTGTCTGGAGTCCTGAGACCGCAGTGGAGAATCAGTGACATCACCCAGTAATTGGGAAAGCTTCCTTTTTTTGCCTGATTCTGCAGAAATACTTTTTTAAAAACACGTTGCATTACTTCTTTATAAGTTTAAATACAGATATTACAGAATCATAACAAGAGAACACCCATGTATTTATGATCCTGTTTTAACTACATTGTCATCCAAATTCTGATTTGCAAAGGGGAGGAAATTATTACTGGCTTTTTAAAACTGAATTATCCCATTTTTTCCTTCCAAAACACAATATATTTATTTATTATTTCATATGAATAAAGAAATTGATCTCTTTTAAAAAATGTACACAGTGCATAAGTGGCAGGGGTTACTGTTTCCTGGCATCTGCATTAAAATCACAGCTTTTATCTTGAATAATTGTACTGCACTGAGCACTAATGCATTTTTGTTCTTGTACAGAAAACACCAGTAGCAGGTAACAGTCTTCCCCTTTCCCAGGGAGTGAGATTTCAAAAAATGCATCCTTGTGCAAAAGGAAAAAACCTTATTCCAAAGTTTTGATACTAAAGAATGTAAACTAGAATATCCTAACAGATCATTCCTTCTGGATGGGGGATAAAAACAAGCCAAATTCCAAGTCTCAGTCAGGGCCAGTAGGAACTCAAACTAAGGCTTCTCCATGTCAATGCATTCTTACTGGGTATCATGGTTGTATGCTTGCACTAGTAAGTGTATTTTACCAGTTAATGTTAAAATACTGGTGTATTTTAAATAATTAGGCATCCAAAACATACAGGTGAGTTAATATGGCAGATGTTATATGAATACCATTTCACCTGCTTCCATAGGTATGACTTTTTCTTTTCTCTTATGTCACTTGCTAGAATACTTACAAGATACTTATGGACAAATCCCTAAAATGGGTACTGCAAAACACATGAGTATTTCTATCATCCAGTTATAAAGCACACGTCGAACCCTCCTTAGCCTTCTAACGTTTCAAAAATTGAAATCCATTCCTACTTCCAATTTGAACTGCAATCAAGATGTTTTAAAGAACCCTCAACCACAAGCACCTCAAAAATGTCTAAACACTGCCATCCTGTGGAAAACCCTACACCCACAGGGATTTACAACCAGTCTTAAACCATGTCTTCTACCAGCCCTACTTTTTTTCGTATCTGTCTCATCCTTTGCATAAAAGCGTTATCATTTACCCAGAAATCTGAGATGTATTAGGCTGAAAGTATGAATAATTAAAACCCAAACTGCTGGAGGATGTAGAATGATTCCAAGGAGTCACAGGATTTTCCATCTTCAGACTGCAGCCTTGGGAGATGGTGCAAGGATGCCCAGTGGCACTGGGGTCAGAGTAAGCCTCCATGAACCTGCAGGGAAGCTTGCTGGGTGCCACAGCAGATGGGCATGGGAGTGGAGGCTGCAGCCCACTGGGCCATGTCGTATCATACCATGGGGCTGCAGGAAATAAATGGACAAGAAAATAAGAATGTGGGAGAGGAGCTGGAGACCTTGCTACAAGCTTGGGGGAAACTGAATTCACGTCACCTACTCTGTAGCTGTGGTGGAGAACATGGTTCCGATCCAGAGTCCGGTGGGGAGTCTGGCAACTGGCTTTGCCTAGGGATGAAAAAGAGATTTTAATTTCTACTGGAGCAAGACGTGGAGGATGACAACAGCCAATGCTGAAAGCAGATGGGTGACCGCCAGGCTTCTGACAAGAGTCTTCAGAAAGCATTGCCCAGCATGTTTGCTGCCTCTTCTCAGAGGAACATCACTTATGCTTCATCAGACCATCTCCTATGGCCCTCCCACCTCCCTGCCATGCCAGGAGGCCCCATCCTTACCTGTTCTTCCCCAAACCCCACCTTCACAGCCTGCTGACTTCAATCCTCCTTCCTCCTCATAAGCAGTTCTCCAGCTACCTCCGGGCTACCAGTAACTGAATATCCCTCACAAGGGATTTAAGCCCTATTCTCCTAGACTAAAGGTGAGAGATCTGTAGCATCTTCATCACGAGTCAATTTCCTAAGACCTTTGTTTGGCCAAAGTGCACTCGGACTCTCTTGTCAGATGGTAGCAGGTCCCATTTTAACACCTCACTCACCATGCGGGACAGCCCAAGTCTGGAGGGAAGTGGGGGCTGACACACAGGTGGGAAACACATGTGCCCACTTTGAAATACAAGCTTTTACAAGATCATCAAAAAAGTCCAGAAGCTTATGATGGGGTTTCCATGGGCAAGTGCCTTCCTTCTCATCAGTTCTACATAATCTTTCAGTTCTGTTTCACTTACAAGAAACATAGTAAGGGACCAATAACTAACAGCTTATATCCCTAAATCATAAAAGCATTGAAAATAAGGAGTAGTAAAAGGTCCACCCCAACAGTCTCCTCCAAAAAAGCTTCAAAATCCGAACAAACCCTAAAAAAAGCCCCTCATTCCTCACAGAAGACAAGTCATTAATTCACATTTTAACCCAAACACCATTGCTGACCAATGAGTTTATCAACAGGCAATAGGAGGGGCTGATTGTGAGGAGTGGAAGGTACCTGGGGATCATGAAGGAGGGAGAAACAGTCAGCGTAAACTGAGCCTCAAAAAGGAGGAGGGATGAAGGATATTTCCCAAGTGTTTTGATTGCATATATTTTCTTTTTCTCGATACACATCAATGATCAAAAGTTTGTTACTTCGGAATGAAGTAAAAATTTCTTGCACCTGGGCTCTCTTGCCCATGACAAAGGGTGCTCCTGGGGTGCTGACTCACACAGTACCACATAGTACCACACATAGTACCTCCCAACGCTTCCACGAAAACGCCTGCTGACTAACACTGCACTGTGCCAGATTTGGGCAGAGCTGGGCTGCTGTCTTCTGTGCAGCTACAGAAGCAGGAGACTCATCTCCCAGTCCACTTCCTGTGGACTGGAAAGCAGGACCACCTCCACAGAAGCTCAGGGTCGTTGGCAGTCAGCACTGCACAGGAGAAACACCCTTGGCACCTTGTGTGAGGAAAGGTCCCTGCATGGCACAGCACCTGCAAACCCCGGGTAGGAGCATTACAGGGAGCAGGTGCAGAGGCACAGGATGGGAAGGCAGTAATGCTCTGACAGTCATTACAAGAGCTGTGGTCTGGAGGCATGACAGAGGAATCTCAGCTGGGAACTAAGACATTCCATGTGATCCACAGCTCCCTCCTTGCCAAATCCCATAGACAAGCGGGGGAGATTTATTTTGTAACATTCCTGCTTAGAGGAAAGTTGTTTGGAAAGCCAAACAACTTAAGTGTGGTCTGTGACTTTTAGTGTTAGCTGGTTTTTATTCTTTCTTTATTCTTCTTTTATTCAGGTAAATTTCTGAAAACATGACCTCTCCTGATTCCTTTCTAAAGAACTTCAAGCACACTGCTTTGTACTAGGATGTTCCAGGCATATTACTGTGCAGCTTTCCCCTGATTTTCAGGCAAGAAACGAGTACGCAGCTAACAGAAAGAGCTTTGATCTCAATTTGTCTCCAACAGTCCACTCACCTGCCTGAGATTTGAAAGGTTCTTGATTATTTACTCTCTGGTACATATGCTTGATTATATTGTATCATATGTCCTTGTGATACTTTATTTTGCTTTTACAATGTTTCCCTTATTAGACATTGGTAAAGGATTTCTTTCTTAAAGTGAGACCTGGAACTACACCATAGTTTAAACTAGACGAAGTCCACTAGTCTAGCAACAAGCAGAGGTTCCCACAGTGTGTAGCAAAACCACTTCATTCCTTCTGCAATGAAAACAGGAGCATCCTAAGCCCAACAGCAAACCACTAGAGCGAACCAGTGGTTCTCTCTTCAGTCAGTTGAGAGCACAGGTCTGTCACACATATTTATTTCAAGTTTTTCAGTCAACAGTGGTGCCTTCATAGCAGCTTAAGGTAGAGAAAATCCTATGCCATCTTGCTGACATTTGAAAAACCAGAGGATTCCTATGTTACATTAGAAATAGATGGAGGTTCAAGAAATGGACTGGGTTCTCAACCCTTTCAGGTATTTCTATGAAATGTCAGCTCAAACACTGCTTTGAAGTGCCTTTGAAAGGCAAGTGCTCAAGATGCATGTTAGGCTAAAAATGCTAGAGCAAAGGAAGGGTGACAGAAATTTATTGAGACACACCTCCTTGGCTAAGGCCCAGTGTTCTGGCAAAAGCTGAAAAAAATAAAATCCCTTAAAGAGAACACTCATATTCATAAAACACATGTTCCCACATACATAGCAAATATTTTCAAGCATCAGTGAAGAATTTGCATCACCTGATTTTTGTCCTACTGTTTCTACCTCAGGTTTTGTATTCCTGAGTTTGGATGACATCAGAGAGAGGCAGCTGCATTTTTGGTTACAGCCTATTACTTTTGACACATGCTTGCATATTTCATAATGGTATTGCTAGTGGTTTTCTAACACATCACATCCACAACCCTGCATTTCGGGTTAGCTTCAACTACATGATTCCTCTTTAAAAATTAATTTTAAAATTCCTTGTTAGAATATTCTTTTATTTCCTTCAAAGTAGATTTTCTGGTGCTTTTAAATAACATGACTACACTCTAAACCTTGTTTTCAACTTTGAATAGAGTTAGTAAACATGTAATTTTTTTTTCCTATGGGATACTTGATCCAGAGATACTGAATTCCAATTGTGCCTTGTAAAATTTAAAAAAGTACACTCATAAAAGTCTAAAACTTCACTTCCACAGACTTCCTGTTCTGGTTTCAAATGCTGTCTTAGGTGCTTGATTTCTGCTTTAAGTTAATGTTTCAGTAAAATACAGACACTTTCTAGGAGAAAGAAAGTATTTATGAAGTACAGCAGTAGTCGGGATATGTCTCCAAGTTAGAACCTTACTGAAACTGATACTGTGCTTTTTTGAGGAAAAAAATAATCTGTAGTTTAAATGATTCTGTATTACAGCCATAGTGTATCAATTAAATACCTACTTAGGAAAGGACACAGCAACCCTTTTGCTCCTTTCACGGATGAAAAGGAAGTAATTACTGTAGGAAAAGATGAGGAAATCACATGGTACTTCACATGTGATGCAAGAGAACAATAAATGTAACAATAAATGGTCTGTCTGATGCAAGATGACCTTTAATGGAAATTTCCAGGTGTCCCCAAGACTGTGGTGGTAACAGCACCCTTTTCATTGCACTCTCCATTCAGTATTGTACATGCCAATATGGAGATGTGCATTTTATATGTATATATGAAGGTTTTTAATATTTTTCTCCTTTGACATGTTTTGGCAAGTTCCCTTATGAGATTCTATTCTGTTTATGCACAAATAGTCTGTAATAGAGACAAATACTTAATAATTTGACTTGCAGAGATCTAACAATTCAGTAAATGTTCGTAATCCCAGAAATAACAAAGTATGACTGTACTATTAGTGTAAACTTCTGTTCAGTCTTCAAACCTATAATAGCTTTACAAATGGTTTTCTTGCACGTAAATACTTTGTAGCTCTGTAACTATAATATCTCACTTACCTAAGCTACATAATAGCATATATATACACATTCATAGTTCTGCTATATTTTGTGTATAAAAGCCAAAAAATAACATTTTAAAATTGTCAGACAGGAGTTCTATAATCCAGTTAACCTAAAACATGTTTAGTGACTCTAAAAATAAAGGTTATGGATATTTACACATAAACTCCTCTTTATTCTTTATTTTTATAGCTTGGGCAGAGAGAATAAATTCATTATTCATGATTTAGCGCAGGCATAAGCCTATTTAGCCCACTGTAAGTAAACATGTGTACTGCTGAGTGTGTCTAGAATGAAAAATCTCATTTAATTATTTTTAAAACATCTCCTCTTGCTCTGCTTCTTGGCAAATGCAAGTGTCAGTCCATTAATACATTAAACAACAGTCATCTGACCGTTGTCTAGATGAAAGATTTGGGTTTTAAGTCTTTGATAGATCATAATCTTTCCACTCTTGACCATAAACCTCTGCACTATGCCTCTTTGAATCTCTTAGTCTCAAAAGAGATTAATGGACAGTTTCTGTCCTGAATTAAGTATCAGGATGAAAACAGTAGCTCTGCTTCCCGCAAACTAGGAGATTTCCCTTATTCTCTCAGTGTATTATACACTAGTCTCACTTTTATCACTTATTCTGTTCATAAACAGTAAACTGGCATTTACAGGGATGTTAAAGTAACAGCTTTGTATTTAATGCCACAATTAGTTTAACAGTTTTGAATCAACTCAGACTTTTATCATTCGTTCTGTTGAACAAGACAACCGTATTTCTATTACTGTCTGCAATTCATTTTTTCCAAATCTTCTTACACAGCTTCAAGAAACAGTATCAAGAGAGCCACAATCCTCTTGAAACTCAGATTTAATCATGGCACTAATGAAAACAATTCCAGAGATGTGGCTGAGGAGGGGAAGTATCTGTTGCTATAATACTTACAAGGTACCAAACTCTATGTCACTACTAATGAATTCTTCCAACATGCTTGTATCCACCATGGGATTCTCCAAAGCTCCATGGACATCTTGCCCTAAAATTAAAGAAGACAGAAATTCAGAGGGAATTGTGTTTCATACTAATTAATGCTGCCCATACTCCTACACAAAGGAAAATCAAATCCATCCTTCCTTATATCTAACAGGTGGGTTTCACTCCTGGTTTAGTCACTCTGGGAAAAAGGATGATGAGAAATGCAGGGGCAGATGCAGATGACAGGGCAGCACCAGGCAAAAAGCAGTGCATGTATGGCATTAAGGTTTCAGTGAACTACTACAGCAGGAGGATGAAGGACCCCAATCTGCAACTGGGAAAAGAGGTTTAGAAGATAATTTCCAACTCCTTTACACTGGGGTCAAAACAGTTTGTTGCGTTGAAGCTCAGACATTGTCTCACACAGATCCACTTTCTGGATTAGTACTGCAAGTGAATTTCTGAAACACTCAATTTAAATATCCACCATCTGAGTTTAAAGAAAGCACAAATAAAGCTTTAGTAATGTTTGGTGGCTTCCTTTTCTCCTACTCAAAAAAAACCCAGCCCACTACCATGTTAAACGTATTAACAAATAGAAAGGTTCAGTACTTTGCCCTTTGTTGCTTGGTAACTGAAGGCTATAAACAGATTTTATGATTATAAAGTTTCCGCACTTCATGACAACTTTCACAGAAAGTCAACCAGAGATCTCTAAAAAACCCAACCAAGCAGTCCTCCTCTGCAGGCTCCACACCTCTCCAGCAAGCTTTCCGCAAATACAGGTGTGCCCAGTCACAGAGGAAACAAGATAAGGACCTTGACATTCCTGCTTGCACTACATGTGGCTCTGTTCCACTTCTGTGCAAGATAAAATGGACCAGCCCACACACGCAGAGCTGTGTGGCTCAGCCCCCAGTGTCTGACACCAACCCTGTCCCTTCAGCTCTGTGGCAGCATGGGAGAACACAAAAGGTTAATCACTGCGATTGAGCAGAGGAGAAGTGACTGCTCAATGTGTGTGTTTGCTGTCTTCTCACTGTACTAGCTTGTACAGTAAAAAGTCATACCATAATGTATCTTCAGTTGTTTTCTGATGTCTCTGACTGATACAGTTTCTTCAGTGTTTAGAAAAGGACATAACAAGAAGCAGCACCTAAATATCCACCACCTTGCACAGGAATTTCCTCATGTGTCTGTCAATACATAAATTTACATTGCTAATAAACATTTCCTGAATTGCTTTGTGATCACTGATTAATATAGGTACTGTTTAGTTATTGCTGCTGCAGGCTTAATTTTTACTGCCTTTCACGGAGGGATAGCAACTTGCAGTTGTGCTACTGATAGATCTCAATATATTGACATTGTATATAAACCTGTCTGCCACACACTAGGGAAGAACAGATTCAACAGGTGCAGCACACCAACTTGCCTCAGAAAAATTGTTAATATGGCAAGTTGTGAAGCAGCAGCACAGCACTTTGCAAAACCAGCTTGAGTATAAAAGAGCCTGGCTTTCCTTAGCAGCCTTCCTCAAACTTGTTGGAGACTCATCTTTTCATTCTTCGTGTCTGAATGCAGGACACTCCCACCCTGAACCACAAACACCTCTCCTTTTACTTATATAGTCCTTGGGAAAATGATTCCATCACCTTCTCCTTATTTTACCCACCTGTTTTCCTGTTCAAATTGTCTAGCCTTTGTGCCTTTATTACTAACATGAGGTCAGAGGTCATATACAAAGTGTCTTTCCTGTACCACAAAACCAAGAATCTTTTATTTTGACCAAGGTCAGAGACAGGCTCTTTTGAATCAAGGAATACAGCTATGAATCAAACAAGGATAAGGCCTTTCAAATGGGCATCCCACAGTCCAGAGATTAGCTCTGTTGCAAAGTGATGACAACAGCAATATATATTAGTCCTTCTTAATCTCTCCACTTTGCATGAACGGTTAAATAAGGAGGAGAAGAAGGAAAGAACAAGTAATTCAGTGCTGGGAGAAGAAGGAAGCACACCAGGAAGATGATAGTAATGAATGTTCGTGATCCAGGTGCATGGAAGAGCTAGTACATTTTGCTGCCCTGTACAACTTCATTCTTTCTTTCCGAATGTACTTTCCAGGTCATTGGCATCGTGCTTGCACTGGGATCTGTTTCAGCAGAGGAGGAGTTGTTGGATCATATGCAAATTTATTTCAAATGTTGGTAACCATTTCATAGGCATTTGATCACAGTTAGTACTTAACAGATATGGGCAGTATGCAAGCCAGTCACTCATCTGGATGTTAGGTGCTTGCAAGAGCAGAGATCTGTGTGTAGGTGGCGAGGCAAGCCCTGTTGAGAGGCCTTTTTTAACACACAGCTTCCTGCACAGAACTGTGTGCCTAAGAGCTGCTGGAGGATATGTGGAGTCAGCAGCCTCAATTATCAGCTTGTGCTCAGGGGTCTCTGCTCCCAGTGCACACTTCACACCACAGTGTGCCCAGACATCTCTGGGAAGAGTCTGCACTGAGTGACACATTCAACTTTAGTGTTACTGTGCAGAGGACTGCCAGCTACCCAACAAGCAGACGAATGTGAAAGGCCAAGGCAGTGCCATGGTTAGAGTTTCATAGAGAGATGTTTGCAAAACATAGACTGCAGTCATGGGCTGCATACGATTATATATTTTCCCCATTTCTTCATAAGCTTGATATTCTGTTGCTCTGTCCCCAGGTCTAAAACTTGTCAGCTCTTCCACTGACTTCTGTTTCTCTGTCCATTCTGGCCTAGCCTGTCCCTAATGCCCAGCTGCAGGCCCCAAAGGAGCAATATGAACATCAGCCTCCTAATCTGGCAGTTGCTCTTTGGCAGCCATTCCTTCCTTTACTCCAGCCATGAGCCTCTGATCACCTGGCTCCTGAGCTTCACTCTATGGTCCTGTAACCAACAGTCACAATCCCCAAAAAACCTCCCATGATTAATTTTCCCAACACTTCTGTGTAGTGCCGTATGTATATATGCATTTAAATCCATTGCCTCCTTTTCAGTGGTATCTAAATGCAAAGTGAAGGATGGGAGACAGAGAAATAGCATTGACTAAAAACCAATGCTACAATGCTAAACTGATCATTTCCCAACATTAAAAGAGGATGCCAGGAAGTTTCCAGACATCTGTAGTTAGATTTGTGTAGTACCATCAGCTACTCTACACAGGGAAGAATTGATAAATACAGCTCAAGGTGTAAAAACGGCACACAGAACATGGTCAGTGTTCAGTAATACCTGTTTGCTGAACAGACCAGGAGCTCTAAATTATGCTCCTGTATGGGTAACATGGAATATAAGTATACAGAGAGGTAGTGATTCCACCAAGAGATTTCTTTAGATCGCGGAGAGTCTGAGACCAAGCACATGCATTTCAGACACCTCAGTGTACCTCACAAGAAGAAAAAAAGAAAAGATTGAGTTTAACACTGTAACTAGGTTGACCTTCCATCAGGTTTCTCAACCCATTGATAACATCAGCAAGGACTACTCTACCACACACAGGCAGAAGAGCTAATCAGGAGCTCTGACCTTCCCTTGACAAATAGGAATTTATTGATTCTAAAATGCAAAATGTTTTAAATACTCATTTCAACAGAAATAATAGAAAAAACCTGCATCAAAGATGAAATCTCTAGTGTGCAAGTGAAACGAAACAGAAAAAAAGAAAAGAACTTCCCAAAACAGCCACATGGCAAGAGAAAAGCCATTTATTTGAACAAGAAAAGGCCAAGGTCAAATCCCAGAGTCATATCTAATCTAAGAGGTCTATGACCTACTGAAAGAAGTGATCATCAGGAAAACAATTATCTCACTTTCCTTGAAAAAAAAATCTTGCTTCAGACTGTCCCCTCTTAATATTGCAGATGCAAATTTACATTACTAATGAGTGTCAAAACAAACATGCCCTGTAAGGAATTAAAGCAACAGGGTAAATGGGATCCTTTTGCTCATGAATTTCAAATCATCCTACAAAGCAGATCTATAAATGAGCTTAGCTGCCAGCTAAGTTTGTAAGCCAAAACTGAACCACCGATCACCATTCCCCACTTGATACTGTAGGATTCAGCTTTTTCATAGCCTGGAAGGACAATATTCTAACACTGTTATGACTACTCGCAGAGGTCACCAAATTAGCACTAGCAGTCCGACTCTTGCGTCCTGAGGTGGCATTATAAAGCCAGCCCACAAACTGTAGTGCTAAGCTGGAGAGAAGCCATAAGTTAGAGCTGGTTTTGTATTTAGTAAATGCAACCCCTGCTTGAAAAGAGAGCCAACACCACTTTAATTCAGTTTTCTCCCTTTTCAGACTTACCTATGGTTTAACAGCAAGAGAAGTCTATCCCATACTGAATGAATGATTACCTCTTGTAGCCTTGACACATATCTGCGTTCAGAAAACGAACTTCAGCCATCTAACGGCATCCCTGCACACCGTATGGCATTAGCAGGCCTCTGCCACGTTCTAGTGTGACACAGCAGAACCACACGACATCACCAAAGGAACATGACATCCCAAGATGTTTCATTTTTCCTGCAAGTAATTGGAATCAATAGGGCTTCTTCCTTTCACACTGGCACAGACTACCAAGTTATCTTCTAAAAAGAGTTAAACTATCAATTATAGAATTAAAAGTAGTAATTCTAGTTAAAGAGTTCATACAGGTAAAATTTCTGCAATACTACCATCACAGTATCAGTGTCATAAAAGCCAACAGAACCTAGACTACTCCCTAGAAAATCATGTTTTCCAAGCAGGTTCCTAAAAAAAAAAAATTCTGAGATTTTTTTATATAATTCATGTCCCACACTATTTTGAGCATTTATCAGCTATGCAATGCAGTGGTTGAACAAACAGCCTGGTAAAAAGTATGTTGCTGAAAGCAAACCCAAGAAAGTTTCTTAGTTTTTAACCTCCACAACTTAAAATGAACTTACGGAACATGGTATGAATTTCCTAACATCTATAAACAACACATTTGCTAGCTAGCAGCCCTAGTTCGTGATTCACTGATTCAAATTTCTTCTCTTAAATACATTTTCTTGATCAATGTTGGAGAATCTTCAGTTTCTTAGTTTGAAAATAAAACTTAAAAGTTACAATTGCCATCTCTCACCAAGGCCAACAGAGGGGCAGGGAAAAAAAAGAAACAAAATCACAACTGAAAGCTAAAGCTTGCCAAGTTACTTTGAGATCAGGATCACATGAATACCCATACAGGTAACAGAAGAACAAATACAGAAAAAGTTTAGTATAGAAAGGTTAATAAAAAACAAATAAAGACAAAGTGCAAATGGGAGAAAGGGAAAGAAAATTCTTGATAAAAAATAAAAAGTAAAAAGCCTTTGAACAGCCATTTTGGATCACATTATTGCAGAACCTAAGAAATGCAGTTTTATCATGGAATCCATTAGAAAGTAAATTGTGTAGTAACAGAAAGTCAGGAAATTAATGCGACCTACTTGAATAGAATATGTCTTTGGGAAAAAGTCAGAATGACAGATGATCTCAGGAAAAAGACAAAAATATCCAAGTTTACCGATACTGCCACAATTACCATTTTACCAATTACAATCAGGTCATTTCAGAAGAATATCAGCGGAAAGAAAACCCTCTTTAACCTGACAAGACTGAGCAGGGAGCAAGATCTCTAACCTCATGAAAATCACAAAGATTTCAGAAGTGATAACTTGCAAGGAGACCTCATTCACTTCCCAGTTTTTCTTCAAGGCAATTACCATGGCAGTACTGCAGGCTCTGCTGAGTCCACCTGTCTTTTGGTTTCCTGGCCGGAGTACAAAGAAAAAGGCACTGCTGCACATCTGTACCACTTGTACTATTTCATTGCCTTACACAATAGCTTTGTGTAAACAGTTTTGGGTTTCAGGGCTCTTCTTCCTCCTTCCTTCCTCAGTTACCCCCCAACAATTACTGTGTTTTTGCTGCCACCAAAAATTTTTAAGACTTCCTCTTGAAACTAGACTCTTACCTTCAAAGAACTGCTGTAAGGCCTCATTTTCTCCCACCACATCCATGAAAATCCAGTAGAATTGTTTTGCTTTCCTACTGCTTGAAGAGTTCCCGCTGAGAAAAATGCACTGTTTCTTCTCCAGATGATTACCAACATGCCAAGGAACACTTCATGTTTTTTTCAGCGGTTTCAATGAATTTGTCCCAGCTGATTTCATTCCTCCATAACTAGAGCCACAGTTATACTTAGGCTTTATGTAAAGGACTTAAACTACACGTAAAGGAAAATCTGACAAGCCTTTTGAGGCAAGGTGAAGGTGATGTGTATTCTATCCGGTAAGTAAGTCTAATGTTCTTGCTTCAAGGACCTTTGGTCCCAGTACTAACTATAATTACACATGCGCAAAAAATGCAGCAATAAAAATTACTTATCTTGTCTTTGTACTTTCACACAGGTCATATAATTAATACTACTGACGAAATCAATAGTAATCAAAAATGCAAGAGCAAAGCCATCATTAGTAGGGAAGTAAAATTTCTAATTGTTACTAACAAAATTAAATTACAGAATTACCTGTTTATCTGAGGTAGCATTGAAAAACATATGGGAAAGCTAAACATGGAACAAAGCTCTTTGCTCTTGCTAAGCAGCAAATCCTATTTTCTATTTTCTATTTCATTTTCTCTGATTTCATCTTTAAACACTAAAAATGGCCCATTTTGTTACCCCTAAGCAAACAGGACAAAAATATTCAGATGTTTTGAGTAGGTAACTGAAAGAGGCATTTGGTTATGAACAAAAATTTCAATGAAGTCAACTCTGGAATTAGGCTATTTTCTGAAGTAATTACATTCACCACACAAGTAACTATTGTGCAGTTTTTACAAGCCCTGAGCACTCACGGTGACACAGGCTTCTCATGATAAACAGCTCATATTAAAAATATAGAAAAGAACTTCAGAGTAGGGACTTGAAGACAGAAGCAAGCCGGTCAGCATTTACAAGATGTTGATGTAATTGAGCCAAACAGTCATTACCACTGAGATACACAGGGTACATCTTTGTTATCCCTAATACAAGAAAATCACCTCAGCATAATACATTTTAGATACTACCATGTATAGAAAGGATCCTTCTCTCTGCTTGAATGAGCAACAGGACTTAGTTGTTGTAAAGGATATTAAGTCAAAATAGCAACAGCTACTGGCTACCATTTGCCTACTGTCAGTTAATCATGGACACAGTTGCACCTCATTATGTAAACTCAGGATTAACAATCATTTAGGAAGCATTTATGAGTCTAGCATAAAACATAATACCAACAAACACAGCTTGTTTTCTAAGAGTCAGTAAAACCAGACTTCCTTAGCATTATTGAAAGAATAAACAACCCTTTAACAATTTATGGTAGAATTTTTCCAGGTGTCTCCAACAGCAAGTAGTACTCAGGGAGAGGAGATAGATAAAAATATTTCTTCAGTACTGAAACAGCCCAGGTTGGACATATATCCTCCATTACTTGTAAAATGTTTAGGTTCAGCTGTTTGTTTTAATTTTAACATTAAAATGCCAGGTTGAAGCCAACACTTGCAAAGTGTTTTCAGGCACATACAAGCAACACAAATATGGTATTGAATTTCACTGCTCATTCTATTACTTTTGTGAAAACGGAGAACATTCCAGTAAGACAGTGATGAATAGCGCTGGTTTTGTTCAGCATCAAAGAGATCTGTATCCACTGACATGCTTCTTGTTAAAAAAACAACTATATAAACTCTCCTTCTAATGTTTGTCTGTTTACTTGCCAATGCTTTAATCTTAAGTGCAATTGATAAATGGCTGTCAGGATCAAGATCTAACATTTTTCCAAAAGGGCAAGTGTAGCACATATCCACAACTATGCTCCTGTAACCTCATCAGCTGTCTGCTTTCAGCTTAGACAATGTCCAGGAAAAAAAGGACCACCTGAACTTCAAGTCCTAAAGTAACACTTTAAAATGCATATTTAAGAGGCCATGATCCTTTTTAGGGTTGTCTGACACAATCTGTATGTGTGAAAAAACTGATAACATTATATGGAAGTTATCATCAACATGTTAAAAGAAATCACATCATGGAAATTTCCCACTTTCAAGGGCAGCTGTGGGGAAAATGATGTATAAAGCACCGAAACCCCAAAAAAAGGCAGGATAAAAACAACAACAACAACAACGACGACGACAACAACAACGAGGACAACAAAAACGACAGACAACAACAACGACAACAACAACAACAAAAACATTTAAAGGAATGAAAACATTTAAATGACAGAAAATCAGAGGGAAAGAGAAAGTTTTTAACAGTCAGATAGGGGTCAGGACAGATTTCTAACCAAAGTGTCAACAAGATAATTTTATTGTTCCTTGATATTCAAAAAGCATCCTACTTTAAAGAGAAGATACTCAGGTTTATTATGCTGTATACGTTTCTCTTCTTACATGTTTTTAAAAATTAGAAGTATAGGAAAGCAGCACTTCAAAGAATTCCAAGTTCTCTAATTGTCTGTTAACTGTATTGCCATGTATGCAGAGAGAGCTACATATATGTATCTGAACACTACAATGAATACCATGTCAGGCATTTATTCTGTCTTCACAAAATCATCTCATTTTTACATTTTAGAATGTCTTCTCGGGGAGATTCACATTATTCTGCATCACAAACAACAGAAGACAGAGGCTGTTTCAGATTAACACTTTAATCAGAATTTCTGTTTTTAAATGTAAATTACAATCACTAATACACCTGCAAGTGTTTACCACATTTGTTCAACTAAATATTATATGTACGCATATACAGCATAGGTCAGTTTAAAACAATCACAGTACTTCTTAGTGCCATCTGCAAAAGGAGAAAGATCTTGGACCCACTTTGTGGAAATAAATATCAAGTGACAAAAAAAAAGATTCAGCCATTTTAGTTATGTATATTCAATGAAGTTCATGCACGCACACGAGTAATAAGACTTAGAGCTCTTCCTTGTAATAGCCAAGTTTTGCTAGTGACATCTCTCGTCTCAGCTGCATAACTTCCCAGAACATCTGATCCACTAAAAAAAAGACAGAAATATCATTAAACATACCTAATTCATATTTTATTTCAACTAATGTATTCAGGCTGCTTTACTCTACATGACTTATGGGGAACTTCGTAACAAACATCTGGTAAAACCAAAATTAATGTGTAAGGGCTAATTGTGCTTGGTTATGATAAAATCTATTCAAGTATATATTCTAAAAATTCTAAGTGACAGTCCTATAAAAAAATTTCTCAAATTTTAGATTTCTTTTTAAAATTGAGAACAACAATACATCAGTACTTCTTATCAGCTTCAATTAATTGCAGTGCCTCATTTTAATTGCCCTGCCCCTTGACTCACCTTCTGTAAAACTAAATAACTA